AAGAAAGAGGACTATTGAATTCAGAAGGCAAAGAAATCAAATACGCAGCTGAGATCCTACAACTATTGGAAGCAGTGTGGGAGCCTAAAGAAGTCGGTATTATACATTGTCGGGCGCATCTGAGAGGAGATGGTGATGTAACCAAAGGGAATCGGATGGCAGATAGTGCAGCTAAGCGTGCTGCTGAATCAGGAAGACAGGAATATGTGGGGCATATAGTTGCTCTTATACCAACTCCACTGTCTCAATGGACTCCAATTTATACAGCTCAAAAAGAGGAGTGGTTAAGGACTGAACCTGGAAAGTATTTGGAGAACAAATGGTATCAGTTAGAAGATGGAAGAATAGTTATTCCAGCATCACTAGCGGTAGAAATTGTCCAAAACTATCATAACGGGACACATTCTGGGAGACAGTACAGAAGAATCTCTCAGAAAACATTTCTACATACCAAGATTGTCCAACTTGGCTCAGGCCATTGTACGTAGATGTGTAACGTGTGCTAAAAATAATGCAAGACAAGGACCAGTAAAGCCACCAGGAGTCCAGTTTATGGGGGGACTTCCCATGTCCGATTTACAAATTGACTATACAGTGATACCTAAATCGGGTGGACATCGCTACCTGCTGGTAGTGGTGTGCACCTATTCAGGCTGGGTAGAAGCATGTCCTACTCGTACAGAGAAAGCAGGAGAAGTGGTGAGATTCCTGCTACGAGAAATAATACCCCGATATGGACTACCCTGCTCTATAGGATCGGACAATGGTCCAGCTTTTGTTCATCAGTGCCTACAACAATTGACTCATATGCTTGGTATAAAGTGGAGGCTTCATAAGGCATATAGACCCCAGAGTTCTGGTAAGGTAGAGAGAATGAATAGAACTATTAAGAATCAGTTGGCTAAAATGTGTCAGGAAACCCAACTTAGGTGGAACGTTCTCTTGCCCATAGCTCCGTAGTACACCTACCAGAAGGATGGGCCTCTCTCCTTTTGAAATCATGTACGGGCGACCACCTCCCGTGCTTGGTAACTTAAGGGGGGATTTGAGTCAGTTGGGAGAAGGAATTACCCGGCAGCAGGTTGTAGGGTTGGGTAAGACTATGGAGGAGGTACAGAAATAGGTACAAGATAGATTACCTGTGAATATTTATCCCCCAATTCATAGTTACCACCCAGGCGACCAAGTGTGGATTAAAGAGTGGAATAATGTGCCGTTAGGGCCCAAGTGGAGAGGTCCTTATGTTGTTCTTCTGTCTACCCCTACAGCGATAAAAGTAGCCGAAGTGGCTCCGTGGATACATCACTCCAGGGTTAAACCAGCATCAGCCGATTCCTGGCAAGTTACAGCAAATCCAGAGAATCCCTGCAAGATCCGGTTAAAACGCACGACTCAGTCGGAGTGACGAGGAACCTTGTAGATTACAAATTTTATTGTTTCAGGGACTTGGTAAGTGAGTGAGAAGGCCATAATAAAGCCTGTCCACTCACCAACGAGTGTATAAGTCAGGGAAAGTCTTGAGGGGACCCCTGTGAAGACGAGCAGAACTCCATTCCCTGCAGTCCTTACATCCTGGAAGCTGAGGTGCCTTCACACGGACGAAGACTGAGGATGACGACGAAAGATGTATTTTAATAATGTTTATTTATGTGTATTTTTATATTCAGGAAGGTAGAGGTACCAACACTCCTAGCTGTGAGGTATGCATTAAGACTACAAGAACAGGTAACCATATATCCCAGAACCTAATTTGGCATTCGCAATATGAGTGTAAAGGAGATGTATCAAGATGTAGATACTTAAATATAGAATATAGTGTGTGTCATTTAGGAGTAGGAGAACCTAAGTGCTTCAGTCCTGAGTATCAACCACGTACAATTTGGTTGACTCTCAGAAATGGAGATTCTCAGGGGACCCTAATTAATAAAACGGTATTAAAATCCGTATATTCTTCAGGTGCTCTGCTATTTGATGCGTGTAAAGCAATATCAAGTGGTAGAAAGCCGTGGAATGTATGTGGGGATCTTAGATGGGAGAGGGCGTATGGGTCTAACGATAAATATATTTGTCCCAGTAGTAAAAATAAATATGTAAGTCCAAGATGCCCAAATAGAGATTATAACTTCTGCCCATATTGGTCTTGTGTGGGGTGGGCGACTTGGGGACAGACAGCAGACAAGGATATGATTGTGACTAAGTTGCCTACTGATCCATATTGTAAGTCTATGGAATGCAATCCAATCCATATACTTATAAATAACCCTGACAAGTTCTTAGATAAATATGGTAATTTATTTGGGTTTCAAATATATGGGACGGGTTTAGACCCTGGGACAATATTGTTTATAGGGATAGAGACTGATACGGTAACCTCCCAAACTCATCAAGTATACTATTCCTTTTATGAAGAGATGAGCATAGATAATAAGATCCCCCATAATGCTAAAAACTTGTTCATTGATTTAGCCGAGAGTATTGCCGGTAGTCTTAATGTTACCAACTGCTATGTGTGTGGAGGTACTAACATGGGAGACCAATGGCCTTGGGAAGCAAAGGAGGTAATGTCCGGTTCTGAGGCAGTTGACCAATTAATATCTACACAAGCCGACTATCATATGAGTGTTAGAGGTAAATCTGAGTGGAGATTGAAGACCTCCATCATAGGTTATGTTTGCATAGCGAGGAAAGGAATGATGTATAATACTTCTGTAGGAGAATTAACTTGTCTAGGGCAAAAAGCTTATGATGATGATACAAAGAATACAACTTGGTGGTCGGCTTCAAATGTCTCAGAACCATCTAACCCGTTTGCAAGATATGCCAATTTAAAGGACGTATGGTTTGATCTATCCATCACATCTAACTGGAGAGCCCCAGCGAATTTGTACTGGATCTGTGGTAAGAAGGCCTATTCGGAGTTACCACAGGACTGGGAAGGGGCATGTGTGTTGGGTATGTTAAAACCATCCTTCTTCTTGTTGCCTATTGAAACAGGTGAGACTTTAGGTGTTAAAGTGTATGATGTGAATCATAGGAAGAAAAGGGGACCCATAGAGATAGGTGCCTGGGAAGATAATGAATGGCCTCCCCAGCGTATTATAGATTATTATGGGCCAGCCACGTGGGCAGAGGATGGTACCTTTGGTTATAGAACCCCTATTTATATGCTCAACCGCATTATAAGGTTACAGGCGGTGGTTGAGATCATTACTAACGAGACATCACAAGCGCTCAATCTTCTAGCGAAGCATAATACCAGGATGAGGACAGCAGTTTACCAAAATAGATTAGCCTTGGATTATCTTTTGGCAGTAGAGGGAGGTGTATGTGGGAAGTTTAACCTGAGCAATTGCTGTCTTCAAATAGATGACGAAGGGCAAGCAATAGCTGAGCTTACTAGCCATATGGTTAAACTAGCGCATGTGCCTACTCAGGTATGGAAAGGGTACAATCCAAGTAGTTGGTTTGGTAGCTGGTATGAGTGGTTTGGAGGGCTTAAGGCAGTGGTAGGTGGAGTCCTACTGATTTTAATGTTGTGTCTACTCCTGCCGTGTCTTATACCCTTAGTAGTTAGGTCTGTGCAAAGCCTGATAGAAAATATAGCAGAGAGGAAGGCTGCTGCACAGATAATGGCAATTTATAAATATAAGGCTCTAGATCAGGGAGAACCAATGCAGGAAGACGAGTGTTGAAGATTCACATCATAGGATAAGTCTGGTCTGGTTCAAAGGTAACTTGTGGTGTATGCAAACCAAGGTTAAGTGATGCCTCAAGTAATTGTAAAATATCAAGAGGCATCAAAGGGGGGAATGTGGTGGAATCTCGGTAAAAATAAATTTAGTAGGCCGAGATTACCACGTGGCATGTGTACGTGCATATGCTGACGTATCGATCAGTTGGTTGCACGAGGCAAGATACGATCAGTAGTGTACGGAGCATGTGCAAGAATACAGGATGTAGTATTCCCCTCCTCCATTGTGCTGGACAAGCCATGCGGTCAAGCAGGAAGTTAATTCTTATTTGTAATGATTGGTCAAGAGAATGTGCGGGTGGAGCTTAATATGGGAGGAGTTATGTGCCTATATAGGGAGCCTGCACTATTGTTCAGGGCTCAGAACTTGCTGTATTTTTGGTGACATTAGTCCCTCTGAGTCCCGATCGGTGATCCAATAAAGAATCTCTTCCTTCCTGAAGAAACCTGTGTCCATCTCTCTGTGCTTTGCTTCCGTCAGTTTCTCCGGTATCAATACTAAGACAAACGGAAAAAGGTTAAGAGTTCCTAAAATATCTAGAGAACGCACTTACCTCATATTAATATAGCGATGCTCTCAATTTAAAACTTAGGGTGTAGAAGGTGGAAACATCGGCTAAACCTAAAGTTTTTTTTTCAGTTTTTTTGGTGATTGTCTATGTGTGGTGAGTTGTAAGGAGGTACCCACAGAGTGTATATAGCAGCTTCACTATATCTCTCAACTTATATCACAAGGCACCATTTGTTCCACACCTTTCTGTCCTGGTCAGGGGAGCAGCTATGGGCCCAGTGCTGTTGAGTCAGTTGATTAGGGTGCAAGGGATTTCAGAGAGGTAGGGTGGAAGGGTGCACATTGTATTGTTAATTCTCAAAAAAAAGATTCTTATACACTCAGACACACCTAGAAAAATGGACACTGGGATGGAAAAGAGGGATTTAGGCTCAAAATAGGGACTGCCCTTCCTGAACAGGGACACATGGCTGGTATTACAGCTCTGCATATGTCACTAAGAAACATTAACATAAACATGTATATATATAAAGCTATATAGTAAGACAAAGGTAAGTGTGCATTTATTTAAAAAAAAAAAAAAAGCCAAGTGCTGTAACGTTCCAGTTATTGATAGTCTCAAATGTCTAGGTTTTAGTGTTTTTTTTCTTTTTTCTTCTAGCTTTATAGACACTTGTGGAAAGAACACAAGCGCACTCTATAGTCTGGCGCGCCGTGTGAATGACGCCGTGCGTGCGTCCGCCGTGATGACGTCATGTGAGGTCGAAGGGAAAGGGAAGGAGTGAAGGCTTTGGGCCTAGGTTTACTATGTATCCGGAATAATAAGCCATAACGGGAACGGCCAGAGAGCACTGTCCGACCGCAGGTAACCGGCGAGCCGCCATCACCTAGCCCTGCTTCCTCACTGGCCGGCCATTATTGTCCTTGGCTGGGCTGTCAGTGCCGGCTGTGTACCGGCAATGGGGGGAGCTGTGGGACTGATACCGGCTCCCCTGCCTGGGGTCACTGCCACCCGCCCTCTATAGCAAAACATGGGGCTTGTTACATAACTGCTGGGGGGGAGTCATGGTGACATTAAATGCAGGAGATATTCTGCAGGATGGGGGGGCTGTCATGGTTACATTAAATGCAGGAGATATTCTGCAGGATGGAGGGGGTGGCTGTCATGGTTACATTAAATGCAGGAGATATTCTGCAGGATGGAGGGACTGTCATGGTACATTAAATGCAGGAGATATTCTGCAGGATGGGGCTGTCATGGTTACATTAAATGCAGGAGATATTCTGCAGGATGGGTGGTGGCTGTCATGGTTACATTAAATGCAGGAGATATTCTGCAGGATGGGGGCTGTCATGGTAAAATGCAGGAGATATTCTGCAGGATGGAGGTGGTGGCTGTCATGGTTACATTAAATGCAGGAGATATTCTGCAGGATGGAGGTGGCTGTCATGGTTACATTAAATGCAGGAGATATTCTGCAGGATGGAGGTGGCTGTCATGGTTACATTAAATGCAGGAGATATTCTGCAGGGTGGAGGTGGCTGTCATGGTTACATTAAATGGAGGAGATATTCTGCAGGATGGAGGTGGTGGCTGTCATGGTTACATTAAATGCAGGAGATATTCTGCAGGATGGAGGGGGTGGCTGTCATGGTCACATTAAATGCAGGAGATATTCTGCAGGATTGAGGGGGTGGCTGTCATGGTCACATTAAATGCAGGAGATATTCTGCAGGATTGAGGGGGTGGCTGTCATGGTCACATTAAATGCAGGAGATATTCTGCAGGATGGAGGGGGTGGCTGTCATGGTTACATTAAATGCAGGAGATATTCTGCAGGATGGAGGCGTTGGCTGTCATGGTCACATTAAATGCAGGAGATATTCTGCAGGATGGAGGTGGTGGCTGTCATGGTTACATTAAATGCAGGAGATATTCTGCAGGATGGAGGTGGTGGCTGTCATGGTTACATTAAATGCAGGAGATATTCTGCAGGATGGAGGTGGCTGTCATGGTTACATTAAATGCAGGAGATATTCTGCAGGATGGAGGTGGCTGTCATGGTTACATTAAATGCAGGAGATATTCTGCAGGATAGGGGGGTGACTGTCATGGTTACATTAAATGCAGGAGATATTCTGCAGGATGGAGGGGGTGGCTGTCATGGACACGTTAAAATGCAGGAGATATTCTGCAGAATGGAGGGAGGGCTGGCTGTCATGGTTACATTAAATGCAGGAGATATTCTGCAGGATGGGGGGTGGCTGTCATGGTCACATTAAATGCAGGAGATATACTGCAGGATGGGGGGGCTGTCATGGTTACATTAAATGCAGGAGATATTCTGCAAGATGGAGGTGGCTGTCATGGTTACATTAAATGCAGGAGATATTCTGCAGGATGGAGGTGGCTGTCATGGTCACATTAAATGCAGGAGATATTCTGCAGGATGGAGGTGGTGGCTGTCATGGTCACATTAAATGCAGGAGATATTCTGCAGGATGGAGGTGGTGGCTGTCATGGTCACATTAAATGCAGGAGATATTCTGCAGGATGGAGGTGGTGGCTGTCATGGTTACATTAAATGCAGGAGATATTCTGCAGGATGGAGGTGGCTGTCATGGTTACATTAAATGCAGGAGATATTCTGCAGGATGGAGGTGGCTGGTCATGGTTACTGTCATGGTTACATTAAATGCAGGAGATATTCTGCAGGGTGGAGGTGGCTGTCATGGTTACATTAAATGGAGGAGATATTCTGCAGGATGGAGGTGGTGGCTGTCATGGTTACATTAAATGCAGGAGATATTCTGCAGGATGGAGGGGGTGGCTGTCATGGTCACATTAAATGCAGGAGATATTCTGCAGGATGGAGGGGGTGGCTGTCATGGTCACATTAAATGCAGGAGATATTCTGCAGGGTGGAGGTGACTGTCATGGTTACATTAAATGCAGGAGATATTCTGCAGGATGGAGGTGGCTGTCATGGTCACATTAAATGCAGGAGATATTCTGCAGGATGGGGGGAGGTGGTTGTCATGGTTACATTACATGCAGGAGATATTCTGCAGGATGGGGGGGGTGGCTGTCATGGTTACATTAAATGCAGGAGATATACTGCAGGATGGGGGTGGCTGTCATGGTCACATTAAATGCAGGAGATATTCTGCAGGATGGAGGCGTTGGCTGTCATGGTCACATTAAATGCAGGAGATATTCTGCAGGATGGAGAGGGTGGCTGTCATGGTCACATTAAATGCAGGAGATATTCTGCAGGATGGTGAGGTGGCTGTCATGATCACATTAAATGCAGGAGATGTTTCCAGGATGGGGTATCTGTCATTATAATATTAAATGCAGGAGTCACTGGTCACTGCAGTATGGGTGGGTGGCTGTCATGGTCACATTAAATGCAGACAATGTTTGCAGAATTGAGGTGGCTGTCATGATCACATTAAATGCAGGAGTTACTATGCAGGATGGGGGTGGCTGACATAGTTCCATTCAGTGCAGGAGATGTCTGCAGGATTGGGGTGGCGGTCATGGTTACATTAAATGCAGGAGATGTCTGCAACATGGGGTGGCTGTCTTGCTCAGATTAAATGCAGGAGATGTCTCAATGATGGGGGTGGCTGTCATGCTCACATTAAATACAGGAGATATACTGCAGGATGGGGGGGCTGTCATGGTTACATTAAATGCAGGAGATATTCTGCAGGATGGAGGTGGCTGTCATGGTTACATTAAATGCAGGAGATATTCTGCAGGATGGAGGTGACTGTCATGGTCACATTAAATGCAGGAGATATTCTGCAGGATGGAGGTGGTGGCTGTCATGGTTACATTAAATGCAGGAGATATTCTGCAGGATGGAGGTGGTGGCTGTCATGGTTACATTAAATGCAGGAGATATTCTGCAGGATGGAGGTGGCTGTCATGGTTACATTAAATGCAGGAGATATTCTGCAGGATGGAGGTGGCTGTCATGGTTACATTAAATGCAGGAGATATTCTGCAGGATAGGGGGGTGACTGTCATGGTTACATTAAATGCAGGAGATATTCTGCAGGATGGAGGGGTGGCTGTCATGGTCACATTAAATGCAGGAGATATACTGCAGGATGGGGGGGCTGTCATGGTTACATTAAATGCAGGAGATATTCTGCAAGATGGAGGTGGCTGTCATGGTTACATTAAATGCAGGAGATATTCTGCAGGATGGAGGTGGCTGTCATGGTCACATTAAATGCAGGAGATATTCTGCAGGATGGAGGTGGTGGCTGTCATGGTCACATTAAATGCAGGAGATATTCTGCAGGATGGAGGTGGTGGCTGTCATGGTCACATTAAATGCAGGAGATATTCTGCAGGATGGAGGTGGTGGCTGTCATGGTCACATTAAATGCAGGAGATATACTGCAGGATTGAGGTGGCTGTCATGGTTACATTAAATGCAGGAGATATTCTGCAGGATGGAGGTGGCTGTCATGGTTACATTAAATGCAGGAGATATTCTGCAGGGTGGAGGTGGCTGTCATGGTTACATTAAATGCAGGATGGAGGGGGCTGTCATGGTTACATTAAATGCAGGAGATATTCTGCAGGATGGAGGGGGTGGCTGTCATGGTTACATTAAATGCAGGAGATATTCTGCAGGATGGAGGGGGTGGCTGTCATGGTTACATTAAATGCAGGAGATATTCTGCAGGATGGAGGGGGTGGCTGTCATGGTTACATTAAATGCAGGAGATATTCTGCAGGGTGGAGGTGACTGTCATGGTTACATTAAATGCAGGAGATATTCTGCAGGATGGAGGGGGTGGCTGTCATGGTCACATTAAATGCAGGAGATATTCTGCAGGATGGAGGGGGTGGCTGTCATGGTTACATTAAATGCAGGAGATATTCTGCAGGATGGTGGTGGCTGTCATGGTTACATTAAATGCAGGAGATATTCTGCAGGATGGAGGGGGTGGCTGTCATGGTCACATTAAATGCAGGAGATATTCTGCAGGATGGAGGGGGTGGCTGTCATGGTTACATTAAATGCAGGAGATATTCTGCAGGATGGTGGTGGCTGTCATGGTTACATTAAATGCAGGAGATATTCTGCAGGATGGAGGTGGCTGTCATGGTTACATTAAATGCAGGAGATATTCTGCAGGATGGAGGTGGCTGTCATGGTCACATTAAAAGCAGGAGATATTCTGCAGGATGGGGGGGAGGTGGTTGTCATGGTTACATTACATGCAGGAGATATTCTGCAGGATGGGGGGGTGGCTGTCATGGTTACATTAAATGCAGGAGGTATTCTGCAGGATGGAGGGGATGGCTGTCATGGTCACATTAAATGCAGGAGATATTCTGCAGGATGGAGGTGGCTGTCATGGTTACATTAAATGCAGGAAATATTCTGCAGGATGGGGGGCTGTCATGGTTACATTAAAAGTAGGAGATATTCTGCAGGATGGAGGGGGTGGCTGTCATGGTTACATTAAATGCAGGAGATATTCTGCAGGATGGGGGGCTGTCATGGTTACATTAAATGCAGGAAATATTCTGCAGGATGGTGGTGGCTGTCATGGTCACATTAAATGCAGGAGATATTCTGCAGGATGGTGGTGGCTGTCATGGTCACATTAAATGCAGGAGATATTCTGCAGGATGGTGGTGGCTGTCATGGTCACATTAAATGCAGGAGATATTCTGCAGGATGGAGGTGGCTGTCATGGTTACATTAAATGCAGGAGATATTCTGCAGGATGGAGGGGGTGGCTGTCATGGTCACATTAAATGCAGGATGGAGAGGGTGGCTGTCATGGTCACATTAAATGCAGGAGATATTCTGCAGGATGGTGAGGTGGCTGTCATGATCACATTAAATGCAGGAGTCACTGGTCACTGCAGTATGGGTGGGTGGCTGTCATGGTCACATTAAATGCAGACAATGTTTGCAGAATTGAGGTGGCTGTCATGATCACATTAAATGCAGGAGTTACTATGCAGGATGGGGGTGGCTGACATAGTTCCATTCAGTGCAGGAGATGTCTGCAGGATTGGGGTGGCGGTCATGGTTACATTAAATGCAGGAGATGTCTGCAACATGGGGTGGCTGTCTTGCTCAGATTAAATGCAGGAGATGTCTCAATGATGGGGGTGGCTGTCATGCTCACATTAAATGCAAGAGATATTCTGCAGGATGGCGTGGCTGTCATTTTAATACCAAGTGACCTTGGGTGGTGGTACAGAACATCATGGGAAATATAGTCCAAAAAAGCTGCAGTGTCAACGGGTAAATAGCATTGCCCCATGTTTGAGCGGGTGGCAGTTCTTGACCTCTGGTTCTGTATATGTACTGTATTTTGCAAATGCTGTTTCTCAATATATTGACAAGTTACAGGAGGCTGCTCTTTGCAAAAACTCAGGGTTGAAAAGAGTGTGATTGTAATTTTGCATTGTGTATGGCTCAACACACAAAAACAATTTCCTTTCAAAAGGTCTAGACTCTACATCTCCTGTAATACTTTAACAGCCATCATGCTGGCAAAGCATCTTGGGCAATGTAGTCCACAACATCTGGAGTGCCAAAGGTTGCCTACCTCTGTCCTAGAATTACATATTTCAGTGATGTGAGGGATAGGTAAAAGTAGATATGTTGTAGAAGAATAGAACACCACTTCTTCTTTTGTCTATTACAAGCTTCCTATGAAAACCTATTTTTCCTTAAAAGTATTTTTGGGGTTTTGTTAAACTAAGAATAACATTATATTAATGTTTGAAAGCCTCTGAGGCCGAGCCATATATACTCATTCTGATCATATAGACGTCATGGAGTTTTTATCTTGTGGTTTTATTTATTTGTTTATTTATTGCTATAATTTTGCTTATAAGTAGTATAACACATAAGCAGTTTAAGCTTTGATAAATTATTTATCCCAAATATTAGTGTAGCCAAGGTTATCCTATGACAACCTATGTCACACAATCTCCAACTTGACTACAGTCACATTTTATATATATTTTTCTAAATTTTACAGTTTAGTTTTATTGTTAATAACCCCCCTAATTGCATTACAAGCAAGATTTTACTATTTTCACCTTGTACTGCTGTTCTCATCTATAATTATCCTTCCATCAATGTGTTTTTCATACTGCTATTATATTATAGCATTTGTTTGTACACTAATGCTTTTAAAATATTCACTAAATGTGTCACTAACCACCTGTGGTTTTTATACTGAACTGTAGTCACCAGGATTTTTTTTTTTTTTTTTTATATTATTATTATTATTATTATAAATACTATTAAAGGGTCACTACACTGCCCAATTACAGAAAATACTATTTAGTAAATATATCGGCATTAAAAAACATGAATGCATTTTAAATATGCATTTTGTATTAGAGGTTTATCTTAAAACGGCTTGCAAACGCTGCAGATTTCTTGTCTGCAGCCTATGCAAGTCCTCACCTTCTTACTCAGCCCAGACTTTGTGTTTGCCCAATCACAGACTTCCCAATTCAGCTCAATGAGAAGTCTTTGCAAGGCAGGTGCTCTGGGCAATTGATGGGGTGGCTAATGAGCCTGAGTGGCGAGCATATTTGGCCCTCCCCATAGGAAAGCATTAAATCAATGCCTTCATCTGGGGATTGTTACTGATGCTGAATGTTTTCAAGCAGAGTGTAAGGACGTCCAGCGTCAGGCGATCTAAAGTCCAGTAAATCTGGTAGACAGCCACTAGAGGCTGTGTTAGTCCTGCAATGCAAACATTGTAGTTCCTATAAAACTGCAGTGTTTTACATCGTAGGACTAAGGGGCACAGGGACACTGCACACAGATCACTTCAATTAGATTAAGTGGTCTTGGGTGTCTATAGTGTTACTTGTTTAATTTGCTACTTGCCTTTCTAGTGCTCACCTCACTCTCTAAGTGTCCCACCTACATTTGTTGATGTTGTAGGCTTCTCCATGTATCAAAAGCAATCCACTCTACAAATTCATTCAAAATATTGTGTTTGTGTATTTATATACTATATTTAAAATTTTATTTGCCTTTTTCGGGTTTTAATATAACAAATGTATTGTGTTTTGTTGCAGTTACTCATATGAAACATTCAAACACCTTGCAAGATATATTGGTACAGCTTTAAGAAATGGAGCTCCCAAATTACAGCCGACAGCTCTTACTGCAGTTGCATACTTTGTGTAAAGAACAGCAGTTTTGTGATTGCACCATTTTTATTGGTGCATTACATTTTCGGGCTCACAAGCTTGTCCTGGCTGCTGCAAGTTTACTTTTTAAATCTTTACTGGAAAGTACTGACACTATTTCTATTGATGCTTCTGTTGTCACTTCGGAAGAATTTTCCCTTCTTTTGGAGATTCTGTACTCAGGAAAACTTCCCCCTGGGAAACATAACCTTACAAAAATAATATCTGTTGCCGATAGCCTGCAAATGTTTGATGTGGCCGTAAGCTGCAAAAACCTTTTAAGCGAAATCATGAGCCACTCCACCCAGAGTCAGAAAATTAAGGATGTTTCAATTCAACCTAAACCTGTAACTAAGACTGAAGTCCTCCCAAAACAGGATTGCGAGGTTCAGCAAAATGAAACGACAGATAAAACTGCTGCCATTGAAAAAATAACCCCCACCATATCTTCTGGGTCTGTTATGATTTCTGCTACAGAAGAAACAGAAGCTAGCAATTGCACAAAAACAAATCTCCTTGCTAAGGAGCCCGAAACACTTATGGATTTGAGCTCTCCAGAGAAAACAGTTCCTGAGCTTTCTACAGCACTTGTTCAAGCAAGGGATAGCATTCAGAATGTTGTCTCAAACGTTTCTGAAAATGAGCTTGTATCTTCCAGTATAGTAAAAGTGGACAGTCCTGTGAATGTAGAGGCAATGTCCACATCAGAAAGCTCTGATATTTTATCAAGTTCTGTAGAAGCTTTAACATTACCATGTGCACCACCTACTTTAAAAGACAACAGTCCTCATTCCATGGAGGAACAACCTTGTATAGAACCTTGTATAGAAAAAGAGATTGATTCTTTTGCAAAATTAGACGATTGTATAACCGCATCCACCCCAAGTTCTTCTAACCAAACAGAACAGCAAGAGTTAGAAGACCTGGCAGAACCTTCAGCAAAGAAAAGAAGATACTCTGAGCAAGGTAAGTTTCAGCGTTTTCCTTTTTCTTATTTGACATGTCTGTGTTTGTTGTTTTGTATGTTTTTATTAGGTACTTGTTTTAGAAGTGTTATTTATAGGTGCTCATATCAAGCTCTGAATCATTAGTTCTTTAAAGTTCTCAATTACGTGCCTCTATTATGAGAATTAAAACCTTTTTTGTATGTTCAAAACTGATTTAGTTATTTATAATTATAATGAAGTGCTAACAGTGTCTTCAGCACTGTACAGTGGGTTCAAAAGACTTAAAATACATTCAAATCATATTTGACTTACCACAAACTTAAAATATGAATAAATTGTCTATTTGAACATCTATACTTTCCTCAGTGTCCTGAATTTTCTACTAGGAACATCGTGCAGATGTTGTTTCTAGGATGGCTACACCCGTTCTGATTTGTCTTGACATCTCTGTTGCCAAACAGAGGGCTCCTTGAAGACCTATTGAATTAACACTTTATTCAAAGCAAGGTTTATGTAATGATGCCTGAAACTGATGGTTTGGCTATGCACCCCATAATGTCAATATTAAGGTTGTTGAAGGTTTGGTGAATGTAACAGTCTTTATGATAACTATGTTCCACTGTGCATGTCTCCATGAGCCAGTTTTGTTATCAGAGATCTAGATTTGTCAAAATATATCCATTTTGAGACACGCTGTACAACGAGCAAGGCATAGTGAGAAAACCATTTTCTCAATCCATAATTTTGCAAAAATGCATCACTCTTACTGATAATTCTGCGCTGTCACTGGGGATTTTTCCAGAGGCGACCATGGTAGAGAAACTTTTCACTCTGTCATTAAAGAGGCTGAGAGGAAAATCACTCTGTCCATGAAGGGTCTCACAGGTGTTGCATACAAATTATGGCAATTTTTCATTTCTATTTCATGTTTTGTATGTTATGGAGAAAATATCAATTATTAGTAAACTATAAAGCTGTTAATACAGGTATATTTCACTGTGAAATAGTGAGTGTGACAACATACAATATTAATATAGTTTACTATTGACCTCCCCATGTGTTCCATGGGCTTTAAAAGCAGATTTAACAAATTGTAAAAAAGAACTGCAATCCTTTTCTGTACCAGCAGAACAAATAGCAATCAAAAATATAGTTCACCAACTGAATTTTCCAACCTTGGGTGCCTGTGGATAATGACAGTATAAAATATATACGGTTGAAATAAACCGTTTGTTCAAACTTCTGACATCAAGTGTCGTGTCTAGAAACAATGACCCATCGGATAAATTCACCAGCAGTTCACCAAATATTTGGAGGATTGCTGGATAAAAAGAGACTTGTGCTATTGTGATATAAAACTTGGGAAATTAATTCAATGCTTGTTCTTTATCGTACCAGTCTCTGTCCTTGGCAGACTTCCAGAAAGACCAACCCCAAAAAGAAAAGTGCACATTTACTACATTTTCCACTTCAACTAATTTCGGGGATTTTGTTTGTAGATGCCTGTGGTTTTACAGCGGTTTCTGAAGAAATACGAATTGGGGCAACACACTTCATATTCAAAATTCCCCCAACTGCAAAGAAAAAAAATCCCCAAAAGCGCTGCCGAGTTTGCTACAGGAAGGGGCAACGGATAGACACCACATTCCACTGTCCTGATTGCCCAACAAAGCCTGGACTCTGCGTTGGTAGCTGTTTCAAGCTGTACCACACAGCTTTCAACTATTAATGACTACACAGACTTATTGCAATTATTTAGTAGCTTTTTTTTTTTTTAATGTATGCAGAAAGCACCTTTGCCCATGTCCCTACTTGTATGGATGCATCCTTTTACTCCTACATCCTATTTTTCTTAAAGCCTCTGATGGTTGTTGATGCTTTTAGTTTAATTAAAGTAAGCCGGTCATGACGGGTTCACTTTAATGACGAACTGCACCGAATGCAATAAAAATATCCGTTATTATAAAATATTTAACTATAATATGTTATATTGGGAGCAGTCATGCTAATAGCTCAATAACAGCACAGCAGACATTACCATGGCAGTATGCTCTGGGTCCCCTTTACCTCCAACCCACTTGTTACATGATTGGCTTTTGGAAACTTGGTAGTGAGCAGTGATGCTCACATGCTGGCTCAATTGCATCCGCATCGGATAGAGTAATATCTGACACTTTGTTCCTATACAAGTGTGAGACTAATGTAACGAACTTTGTATTATTTTTCCATTTTAAACTATTTTACGTGTACTAACATTTACAGTTACTTTAAATGATCAGTCTTTGACCATTTTCCTTATTCCCTGATGTGTTTGCGTTTTCTGTTAAATTCTTGTCATATATATATATATATATATATATATATATATATATATATATATATATATATATATATATATATAGACCATTACTCCCATAATTGTTATGGAGATCTCATGGTTGCCTTAAAATTGGCCCTGAACGTTCAAGTCACTTGCTACTAGCCGTGATGTAAGGGACCATCCACACACCAAAAGCACTTCACTTAGCTAAAGTGCTTTATGAGTGAGGAGTATCATATTTTAACCCCAGTTTATAAAAGTGATGATTTTGGGAAGTTTGCTGCCTCCTTTTGTTATCTCTCCTGAGGTAAAGGAAGTGGCAGGTGGTCTCTACTTGAGTGTGCCTGCCTCCTCCCACACAGCCCTCAGATCAGCTGTGAGCACCAATTCAGAAACTTCTCAATGAGTTTGACATTTTCTTCCGGGGGTAAAAAGAAGGCTTGCAAAGACTGCAGTTAATAAGAACTTTGGCAAGCTCTTAAAAGAAAATGAAATAATAATGCATGTATTGTTTGGGGGTATAACACTAAACAGCGTGTTCTTCTTTTGCCCATTTGGGCGGTGGAGTGTCATTTTAAAAGTGCTCTCCACTGCAAATATAAAAGGTCCATTGTTGAATTTCAGTGGCTGAAAATTTTTAGACCTGGTGAACAATTCCATTATGTATAGTAAAGAAAGAAAAGAATGATTTATACAATGAAATCTAATATTCTGACTAAAACTTTCATAACACAGGGTGAACTTATTAAAGTATTAACAGTACATCCATATCAGTATTGTATTCTGCTAGAAGAAAACATGATGGCAGCTTTGGTTATCACTATGAAATGCAATGCATGCAACCTTAAGTCACTATTAACTTTCCATAACAAATTACACATGACGTGTGTGTGTGTGTGTGTGTGTGTATATATATATATGTATATGTGTGTGTGTGTATATATGTATATATATAATATATTCCTGGAAAAAAAGAAACAAAAACACTTGGATATTTATGTTCCTAAATTGATTGTTATTGCATTTAAAGGAAAATCCTGAGCACCATAACATATGTTTTATGCATCGGTTATGGTACATGGTTTTGTTTACACCTGTAAGACCCCCTCCCTGGGAATCTTTGCAAGAGGAAGCTATACTACTTCCTCTTTGTCCATCAGGTACTTGTACCACATGCGAATGCCACAGACATCCCAACCATCCTGATTTTGCGGGACAGTCCCTTTTTTTTTAGTCCTGTCCCACTCTTGGGGACACTGGGGAACTGTCCCTAACAAGCACAGCAAGTTTGCCTCAGATGCACTTGCACCATTTTCAGGGCACTATGGCACTGCAGAGAGTACTGAAACAATACTCCCTGCATGGTCTGCGTTCAGTGGGTCATCCTGCTTGATAGGACGCCATAGTTGGGAGGTATAATGCCATACGAGTCCTTATACAGTAGGTATGCACAGGATTCTGTTACTCCTGATTTATATTTGGACTGTTATGTAGCTTGCATTTGTATTTCTATATTTTTATATTTTTATAATAAAAGATGAGCAAATAATTTTATTCAAATTGAAAATAAAAGTATGTCTGTCTTTTTTTTTTTTTTTTTGTGCTGTAAGTTAATCTACACAGTGTGTATGTTTGTTTATAGACATATCAATATATATTGAAATTTCAAGCTACTTGCCACTTCAAAATGTGTGTGAACAGCATTTTGTTTTACATGCAATGCATTTTCTTAGGGTATCTTTGCTTTTGTGAATGCAGCACATCTCAAAAGTGGCAGCGTGTTATTCAGTGATGTGGATGAACACACGGGATGAATTCTGGTGGAGTGTGTGAATGTAAAGAGTGTTCTCTTTCTCTTGTCACTTTTTTCATTCTTTTTGCCAAGTCACTTTCTACTGCCTCAGCCTTTGCCACTTTCACCTTTTGAAATCATGCTGCTTTTATAAGATAAAAACAGGGGGGTAGGTGCAGCGCTTCAGTAATCCTTGACAAGGTATATGTGAAGAGAACCAGAGAAGGAATAATAGTGTAGTATTTAAAACTGTAGTGGTGATAAGTAAAATAAAAGATGTGCACTCACACTTTCTTGGAGCTTCAATACAGCTCCAGTGGATACGCATGGGCGGAATAATCCCCGCCTATGGATCAAGTGCAGAGGCAATTCAAGTTGTAGGTGTGGTAGGGGGTATCCTCATAAAAAAAATAAATAAATAAATAAAAATTGTATATGGTGAAGTATGTAGAGCTATGAAGCAAAGGTAGGTAAAAACTATAAAATGTGCACTCACGTGTAATGGAGCCGTAAAACCTGGCAAATGCTTCAATTAGGAGAAAAGAGAAAAAATGGAGCCTTTAATGACTGGTACCTCCGTGTGGGGGATAACCCCTAATTAAAGTAGAATAAAGAAAAGAGAGTTGGAGGTATGCTGGATGAAATAATGTGTAGAATAAAACGTCACTTGTAATCTGGTAGCTAAAAAGTAGGGATCGACCGATTATCGGTTTTACCGATATAATCGGCCGATATTCAGTATTTTCGGCAATATCGGTATCGGCCAATTCAGATACAGATATTGCCGATAATACCTCCTAGGACCGCCAGGCTCATTACAAGCCCGGCGGTCCTGGGGGGGAGCGGGCATCAAGCGCTTACTCACCTCCCAGCAGTTCCTCCAGCTCCCCAGTGCAACTCTCGCGAGACCCGCGGCCGTCCGAGCGTTGCCATGGGTCACCATGGCAACGCTCCGCGCGACACGCTGGCCGCGAGAGTTACACTGGGGAGCTGGAGGAGCTGCTGGGAGGTGAGTAAGCGCTTGATGCCCGCTCCCCCCAGCTCAGCCAATACCACTGGACCACCAGGGATGGTCATATCCCCCCTCCCTGGCCAAGTATGAAACAGGGAGGGGGGGACAACAAAAATAAATATTAAATATATATATAAAAAAAAAATGTAATAAAAAATGCCCCCCCTCACACACACACTCCATTATATACACATACACTACACAAACACACTGTGTATATAATGCAGTGTGTTTGTATAGTGTGTTTGTGTAGTGTGTTTATATAATGCACACTACACAAACACACTACACACTGCATTATATACACACACACTACACAAACACACTGTGTATATAATGCAGTGTGTATACAATGCAGTGTTTGTGTAGTGTGTGTGTATACAATGCATTGTTTGTGTAGTGTGTGTATATAATGCAGTGTGTGTATAATGCAGTGCGTGTATACAATGCAGTGTTTGTGTAGTGTGTGTATAATGCAGTGTGTGTAGTGTGCGTATATAATGCAGTGTGTTTAGTGTGTATATAATTAATGCAGTGTGTGTTTGCATAGTGTGTTTATATAATGCACACTACACAAACACTGCATTATATATACACACACACTATACAAACACACACTCTGCATTATATAAACACACACTTTGCATTTAGTATATACTGCATTCACTTTACACACACTACACAATCACTCTGCTTTCATTATATACACACACTACACTAATACACACTGCATCCACTACACACTAGACAAATACACACTGCATCCACTGCATCTACTACACACACTACACAAACATACACTGCATCCACTACACAAACACATACAGCTCCCCTGTCTAAACACACTGTATCCACTACACGTGGCATGTATATTTTGTGCATTTACCTTTAGAAATAGTTTTTATTTTCCAAAATGGTAAATGTACAGAATATCGGCAAATTATATCGGCTATCGGCCTGAAAGTTCACGGAATATCGGTATCGGTATCGGCTCTAAAAAATCAATATCGGTCGATCCCTACTAAAAAGACCCTTAAATATAAGGGCTAGATATATATCAATTTACACACTGACACACAAACACTAAATAAAGAAAATGAATAAAATCAAAATAATGTAAATTGTAATCTCCAGAAACCGTCCTATGTCAAGATTTTGCAATAGGATCTACAGTTTAATACTGACAGGTGAAACTGGATTGTAGTTATGTAAAGGTTCTCACAGTAACTGTCTGCCACACTGTGCACATATTTGCTTTATTTATGTAAAGGTTCTCGATTGTAACCTAAGTGGACAAAAATGAACCACTAAAAGCAGGGCTGTACTGTGATAATTAAATAGTTGACCACGCTATCTAAATATTTTATGTGTGAAGCCCCACGTTTTTTCCAAGCAAGAAAATACTTTTAGCAAGGAGCCACATCCACAACTTTATAACTCTACTATCGATCTGCTAAAATGGCAACCAGTTAAACGATTTCGGCAAAATAGCCTAAATCACTGATGATTTCGTATCCCCATAGACTGCTGAATGATTGCAAGCATGCTCAGCGAGAGAGTTTATGTACTGGCTATTTTTCCTTAGTTCAGTCTATCGTAACTATCTCTAAGGGTAACTGTGATACAGATACATCTAATAAATTCAAAACAATAATATTGAAATAGTTGTAACAAAAACCACTTATAGATACAACAGTAGCTAGCTGCTGAAAGTATACGTTACAGGCAATCAGTTTTGGTATAGAGCAGGGGTAGGCAACCTACGGCACTCAAGGCTGCTAGAGCCAAACAGGGTCTGGCCTATCAGGAGTCCCAGTAAAATTTCAGATATCTGCTAATACGAAGCGGTGGTGAAGGACAATCCTCAATTTATGCATTGCAGCACGTAGAGTAAGTGATCTCAGAGCACTTCATTCCAGCACTTGTGAATGGGAATCCACACAGTATTAGAGCAGCTCGCAGTTGCTGTTGCAGCTCCTGTCCTTGACCTGTATCTGGCCAACATAGTCCCCACTGGAACCCAGGGAAGCCACCCACACTGCTAGATATACACAGACCTGCAGAATAACCCTCCCCTCATACAAATAATACGAACAGCCCACACACAATCCGCACAAACTGAACACCACTGACAATCCTCTCACATGCAATACCCCAAACAGCCCCCATACATACACACACTACCAAACACACAATGTGACATATCCATCCACACAATTCCACAAGCAGCCCCCATACACAGCCCACATTCATATGTATCATACACGATACCACAAACTACTCTCGGACATATAAAATATAATAGCTCATATACGCACAAATACAATACAAAGCAACTGCAGTATAAATAACACAAGCAGAATACGGCAGCATACACACCTCAATTAAAAAAAAAAATAGGACCGGCACGCTACGGGACATCACAATCCTATATCGGTACAGTGCTGCTAAAAGGTTGCCTACCCCTGGTATAGAGTGTGCTTAAATACAACCTCGAATTTTGGTATGGATAGTAGCAGGCTAATTTTGTTTTACTTAAATACTGGTGAGAAATCTTAGAGTGCTCTCACTAGATCTTTGATACCCCATCACGATTGCCCGGTTGCTGTATAAAATATGCTGGTATATAGCCTTAAGGTGCTTTACATCAATTAGCTACTTTTGTTGTACTGGAGAACCTAACTGGTTGCACAAAAAGGGAAGATAAATCATATATGGTGGTAATATAAATCTCCCTACTGTGCCTTCAAGGGCACCCCTTATTCAAACACTTTCCCTGGTTGGTAGATGACCGAGCAAACCGCCCCCCACTTTTGATATAGCAAAGGGAAAAGTAGATTGTTGCCGGTGCTATTTAGTTATTGGTACCCCATGCTGATTTACCTGTTTCAGGGTATGATGTGTTAGTATAGAGCCTCAGGGTGCTCCGTATAAATCACTAGTGCTAAGTAATAGTTACTTAGTCCGTCAAGTTCAGCCTTCCTCACATATGTTTTTGCTGTTGATCCAAAATAAGGCAAAAAAAACCAGTCTGAAGCGTTTCCAATTTTGCAACAAACTAGGAAAAAATTCCTTCTTGACCCCAAAATGGCAGTCAGATGTCTCCTTGGATCAAGCAGCTATTACCCCACTAATTTTGAAATTATATCCCTATATGTTATGCTTTTGCAAATATTTATCCAATTGCAGTTTATGGACTCGGATAAAACCACCTCTTTAGGCAGAGAATTCCATATCCTTATTGCTCTTACTGTAATAAAAACCTTTTCTTTACCTTAGATGAAATCTCCTTTCTTCCAGACTAAATGCCGGACCTCGTGTCCTATGTATAGCCCTGTTCATGAATAGATTTCCAGATAATGGTTTGTACTGGCCCCGAATATATTTGTTTAATGTTTTCATATCCCCTCTGAGGCACCATTTTCCAAACTAAAGAGATTTCAATTTTTTAACCTTTCTTCGTAACTAAAATGCTCCATTCCTTTTATTAATTTTGTAGATGGTCACTTTTTCTAGTGCCATGATATCTGTCTTCAGAACAGGTGCCCAAAATTGCACAGCATATTCAAGGTGTTGTCTTACCAGCGATTTATAAAGAGGCAAAATTATATTTTCACCTGGAAAAATCTATGCCCCTATTTATACATGACAAAACCTAACTGGCCTTAGCAACTGCAGATTGACATTGCATATTGCTGCCCAATTTAAATTAGTTTTATTGTCGTCACCATGTGAATGCAGACATCGAACAGGTTACTGTAAAGAGCATGAGGTTGCCTACGCAGAGGTGTATATATATCGAAACAGATGAATGCAACAAGAACAGTTACATTAATTAAGCAGGTGTGCAATTTGCAAACTGGAAAACATATCATCAGGGGTTGGTCTGGCATGCTTCGGCATATCTAGGTGTGTGTATGTATGTGTGTATATATATATATGTGTGTGTGTGTGTGTGTGTGTGTGTGTGTGTGTATGTATATATTCCTTTGTTCTCGTGCTGAGGTCCTTTAATTAGGCAAACCTATTGAGTGTAGTTTGTTCAGGGCATGCCGTGTGAGCATGTCTATAACCGGTCTGCGCTTAAATTAAAGTAATCTGATCAGCGGCTGTAGGCCGTGCAGGAGTGTCGTTGGGTAGCAGTGCATCAACCGTGCATTATAGCCAGCGTCTGATGACTATAACAATTCCCAAACCTTCTTGTGTGTGGTTATCCCTAATTCACTACCATTTAGGGTGTAAGTTGCTTGTGCATTCTTGACCCCGAAGTGCATAACTTTGCATTTCTCTACATTAAATTTCATCTGCCATTTTAGTGCCCAGTCCCTCCAATCTATCCAAATCCCTCTGCAGCAAAGCTATATCCTGCTCACATTTTATTACTTTACAAAGTGTTGTATCATCTGCAAACACTGATACATGGCTTTCAATGCCTATTTCAAGATCATTTATAAATATGTTAAATAGAAGCGGTCCCAAAACAGAACCCTGAGGGACACCACTTGCCACTTATGTCTAGCTGGAAATTTGTCATTAATGACAACTCGTTGTACTCTATCCTTAAAGGACTACTATAGGCACCCAGACCACTTCAGCTTAATGAGGTGGTCTCGGTGCCTAGTCCAGCTAGGGTTAACCCTTTTTTTTTTTTTATAAACATAGCAGTTTCAGAGAAACTATGTTTATAAATGGGTTAATCCAGCCTCTAGTGGCTGTCTCATTGACAGCCGCTAGAGACGCTTCCGCGCTTCTCACTGTGATTTTCACAGTGAGAAGACGCCAGCGTCCATAGGAAAGCATTGTGAATGCTTTCCTATGGACGGCTGAATGCGCGCTCGGCTCCTCCCGCGCATGCGCATTCAGTCGAAGAGGAGGCGGGGAGAAGGAGGAGAGCTCCCCGCCCGGCACTGGAGAAAGAGGTAAGTTTAACCCCTTCCTCTCCATCCAATCTGGCGGGTGGGGGACCCTGAGGGTGGGGGCACCCTCAGGGCACTATAGTGCCAGGAAAACGAGTATATTTTCTTGGCACTATAGTCCTTTTAAGCCGATGTTCTACCCAAGAACAAAAATATTCATCTAGACCAATTTCTTTTAGTTTGAAGACTAATCTATTGTGAGGGACCGTATCATGTGCCTTGGCAAAATCCAAGTAGATCACATCCACTGCAACACCATGATCTATACTTCTACTTACTTCTTCGTAGAATGCAATTAGGTTAGTTTGACATGACATATGTTTCATAAAACCATGCTGATTATTGCTAATAACAAAGTTCTTCCCAATGAATTCCTGAATATTATCCTTTTTATAGCCCTTAAAATATTTTCCCAGTCACGGACGTAAAGCTCACAGGTCTATAATTTCCAGGCAGGGATTTTGAACCCTTTTTGAATATAGGAACGACATCTGCCTTCCTCCATTCCTCCGGCACAATACCTAAAACAAAAAAATCTTGAAAAATTAAATACAGTGGTTCACTTATTTCCCCACTTAGCTCCTTAAGTACTCATGGGTGAATACCGTTGGGCCCCAGTGCTTTATTTACATTAATTTTAACTGCTTTAGCACCTTGTCTCCAGTCATCCAATCACAAGTTATCTGCAAGTTTTTTGGTTTTTTTGCAGCAATCATTTGTATATATCTTGCCATAGGATCCTCAGTAATATATTCTGAAGAAAAAGTTATTTAAAATTTCTGCCTTTTACTGTATGTCACAAAAAAGAAATGTAATCTAATCTGCTTCTATATAGCTTCCTGTGTCTGCATCTACTCCACCCCTCCTCCCCCCACCACCACCCATGAGCTTTTTAGCTTAAAGCAAGGTTCTGTTTCAGTTGTTAATCAAATTTACCCATAATCCATCAGAAAAATCAATCTCACAAAAGAACAAACATCATCGAAGAGAAGAACAGAATGGCTGTACTCTTTAAGACATAGGAGCATAAGGAGAGAATTGATAGAAAAAAATTACAGGGCTGCTTTAATGTGGTGCAATGTGGTTTCCTCCTCAACGTTTTAAAGGAACAGTCCAAGCACCATAACCTATAGCACTGCAGCTAGTTTTAGTGGTTTGACGTCTGACCAGGGGCCACTCCCTGGATCCACTATATCCGTCAGAGAGCCGTAAGCTGATCATTATCAGCCAATGAGCCAATCCCTGCACCACCCGGCTTAGCTCAGAGAGCTTCTAGCTCTCTGTTGCAAGTAGTGGAGCCATACTTGAATTGTTACTAGTGAAACTACAGGTATATCACTAACCATGCAATGCTAAAATAACTAGTGACGTAAATCACTGGGAATCCACATCTGTTATACTACGCCAAGTTTATACCCATAAAGAAACACTCTGGGTATCATGAACATGTCCTGTTATTGAAGACATCATGGTGCTTGCAATCTCCTGGCATCTTACCTTTCAGTGTCAAATAATTTTGTAAGCTGTGTCCTGTCTAATGTATATGCATATATGATTTAACATATACCTGCACTGGTGACCAGTGATAGGTTGAGAGTATCACTGTTAACCCCTGACAGCTCGAGTTAATGCCTACCACCAAAGGAGAGGCAAATGACCAAATGCTGATGGCAATTCTCATATTTACTAATGTCCTGTTCGGTCAGAATGCAGACATTCCAAGTGAATCTGGAACAATCGCTTGTATGCTTTCGGTGTCAGGATTAAAAACGCATCCGATTCCTATAAAAGTAATATTATCGTTCAATTTTTTGCAAATGTATGATAATCTAAAGTACTATTTGCTTGCACTGCAAGGGTTAATTATGTGTTGGCTGGCCAATGCTTGCTAGCCGGCTGCCACATAAAAAAAAAAAAATTCAAAATTAAGTATAAGTACTCTAAGACCTCCATATTGCTATAAGGGAGGTTTAATCTCTCTCTGCCCCCAACTACCTAAATGTTTAAAACTAGCGACCGAGCAGCCTTTGTTTCCCAGTGTTTAGAAAATTATTTGTGCATTAGGTGGGTGACTTTAAATTCAGTACAGTGGTACCTCAGTTTACAAATTTAATGCTTTCTCCAGGAAGTTTTGTATTGCGAAAAATTTGTAAACCGTAACGTGGTTTCCCTTAGGAATGCATTGAAAACCAATTAATCCGTTCCAGAAGTCAGAAAAAAAAGTAAAAATGAGCTGGCATGGAAACCAACCCAAAATGCAGAACACACAGTAAAAGACATGCAAACGACTAAGCTCAGCTCACTACCTTTTTACCGCTTGAGAAATGCACCCAAAAAAGTTCCAAAAAGTCCCAATACTCCTGCAATAAATTTCCAGAATGGCTCCAAAACTCGATGGCTTCCATCCAATCGGAACGCTCTTACTGATATTGCATAGCATGGGAAATTTTTCCAGCAGCTTACTTAGCATGGGAAATCCTTTATAAGGGTTTACTTCGGTAGAAGACCTCAGTCTGCACCAGCACTCATGGGGCAAATATGTATAATTTTTAGTCGCATTTTTGTTTTGTTTTTTAATTTATTTTGCAAATCAAAATGTGTGGGTGTTTTGGTTTTTTTTGTTGTTTGGAATTCTGGATTTGAATTTAGCTTTTTTTGGGGAGCTGAAGAAAAGTAGTTAGAAAAATAACTTCCGATGGTAAGTATAATCATTTATTTTAAAGAAACACTATGGGGTCAGGAACACCAACATGTATTCCTGACCCTGTAGTGTTAAAACCAGTATTAAGGTGGCTTTCCTCCCCTTAGCGCTCTCAAAAGGTAAGAAAACTTGCCTCATTCCACCGCTGTGTTGGTGCGCTGGCCCCACCCCGATCCGCCTCCTTGCTGACATCCCATAGGGAAAGCATTGGATTGGCTGAAATCGGCAAGATGGGGGCGGGGGACAATTAGCACCTCCTCATTGAATCAATGCATCTCTATGAGAAGTTCAGCGTCTACATGCAAAGTGTGGAGACGCTGAAGGGCAGTGCTAGGTTTTGGTATAGAGAAAAATACACAAAAGATTAGGCTCTGAAAACCATGTGTTGGTAAAACATGCTTGTGTTATTTGTGCCATGACTTGGGGATTTGTAGATCACAGAGACAAGAGGACTGTAGCTTTATTCACTTGAGAATCACTTGATCCTGTACAGAGAGATGTGCTTCACGTTACTGTGCACTGAGTGCTTAGCAACTAGTGGCCCAGACATGTTTAGTAAAAAGAGCATTGGGCATACTCTCGTCCATTCATCCGTGTTAGTGGGCTTGTGGTGTGTGTGTGTGTGTTTCTTTTGTTATGAAAACAATATTTCTTTTAAAAAACATTATAAAATATATTTTGAGTTCAGTAAAGGAAAAAAGAAAACCAAAGCTGAACAAATGCATAGTTATAGATGGCAAAGTTACTTTTTCGTGTAGGTATAAACAGCCCTGATACCCAAGAAGTTAATGTTTGGTTTTTTTTTTTATTTTTGGTTTTTAGAAAACGAAAAAGCTTCTGGTGAGTTGGATTTTCTTATGCGTTATGAAAGTATCTTCAGTGAAGCTCTGTCAGACCCAAAGAGTGTATTAGAAAATTTGAAAAAATGTCGCCATCTCAAAGAAAATGAAAAGCAGGTGAGTTATGTAAAGGATTACAACAAGATGTTTCTTGGTACTCTGGGTAATTATGCAGCTTGTAACCCTATTTTTTAAAAAAATGATATATATCTATCATATATTTATTTCACACTAACCGCTCAAGCTTGTTTTTATGATGTACAAGTGCAACATTATTATATTGCGCATAGTTACAAGGTGTATGTCCTTCTTTTACCCATTGTATAGTTTTGCTTTTCGGTTTTGGTGTTTTCCACACCCAATTGCTGGCCCTTAAAAGGTGCATAGGCTGATTGTCTTTATTTTTACATGACCTAATACCAAAAATCAATTTGGTTTAAAGGAACACTCCACACACCTAAAATATTTGTGTGAAAAGTGTGCCTCCCCCTCACCACCCCTTTTTTCCACTAATTTAATTAAATTTTTTGTTTTAAAAATAGAATTTGCCACTTTTGTAAATCAACCTAGTTACACCCCCTGGCTGTCAATCACACAACCAATCCTGAGACTTTGTTTGTTTAGCACAGTGGAGCAAAACTCAAGAGGCAGCCAGTTGCCCAGAGCACGTCTCGACTGGTGAACAGGATAGTTTGTAGAGACTACATACAAGACATCTGTAATTCTATGCATATATGTTTTCATTGGTGGTATAATTACTAAATAGCGATTTGTTTAATTTTTGTGTGTGCTTGGAGAGTGGATTGTCCTCTTAAAGGAACACTTGCACCCCAATAACACCTTTATCTTATTGACGTTATGGGGGCAGAAGCATCCAGGCACAGTCTTACTTTTAGGAGTTAAACGGCTTTCCAGTAGTTTTAACTTTGAAGTTGGTCCCCTAGTACCCGACTTAATTCTACATCCAGTGATAGCCTAAGAGGGTTAGTACATACTATATCTCTCAACGGGCGGTAGTAATCTATTGTGCATGTCAGCTGATGCTCTCAGCTTATCACTGACCACCTGACAAAACCTTCCTCATACTGCAACCAGGAGGAAATGGTTAATAACTTTAGGGGTTACAGTGGTTTAATCCCAGAATTTAAGATAGTACCTCACACTCCTTTATATTCTAGTTATGATTACTATCAGTAGAGGAACACATTCTCTGCCAGAATCCACCAGTCACTGATATAATGCCTGCAAATTTGCGGAAAATGAAAGCTCACCCCTTGCTTTGAAAACATACAGAAAGTTGCAATCGGCCATATTATTCCTACAGTCAGGGAGAGAGTAGGAGCAATTGGACCCTACCATTCCACAATTAGTATTGCATAAGCATTCCAGAGATTGATAAAGATTTCTACAAAAATTTTAAATAACTTTTATTTTAGATATATGATTTAGTTGTATTTACTGTATATGAGCATTATGTTCTATGCAGGCATTTTATACAGTTAATTCGAATTTTAGTGAGCTGTGCTGCTAGTAATGGCCTTAGGGTCCATAGAAATTATTATATGTAATGTATTTGACCATTTGTATTTACTGTATGTAAGAAACTATTTTTGCTTTAATACTAACATTTCAGACCCCGTGTGAAAAATTACAAGATAAAGAATACTGTATACTGTCTAAAGCTTTTTATTTCCCAAATATATTTTATAAAGGCTAAATGTACATAATTTGAATTTAACATTTTTGTCTGCAAATAAAGATATGCACACAAGTTCTATGATATTTTATAAGCTAGCTATGCATCCCTTGCTTCAAGTGTTATGTTTTTTATTTTTTTTATTTCCCCTATCAAAACCTTTATTAATATTCATATGCCTAGTAAAGACGGTAGACATAGGTAGAGATCAAGAAATGGAGTACCCCATTAATACTGTGTGTGTGTGGATTTTTGGGGGGAGTTTTTTGTATTGGTGTAGGGAAACTCTCTTTTAAAGGCTTATTTCAAGCCCAATGGCCACTTCACTGATTTGAAGTGGTCATGGTGTCTGTGGTCTGTATTTGCAGCATTTTGCTTTGAAATTCTGCTCATATAGAGTTTAAGCCCTCTGTTGGTGGAATTATAATTCCACCTCTGGTTGCATTAATCCAAAATGGCTAATGTGAATTCTGTGCATATTTGTCATCTGACACCCTCACTTACAGCATGTTTGCAAGAGACTGCCCTCTATGCCACACATGTTCTACATTCAACTTATCCTTCTTGACATCGGTTCCTCTCCAGCTAGGGAGTGATGTCAGCAGCGGAGGATTGGGGCTGGAATACAGGTGTTTTAGATAGAGAGATATATATATATATATATATATATATATATATATCTATATATATATATATATATATATATATATATATATATCTATATATATATATATATATATATATATATATATATATATATATATATATATATATATATATATATATATATATATATATAGATATATATATATATAGATATATATATATAGATATATATATAGATATATATATATATATATATATCTCTATATAGATATATATATATATATATAATTTTTTTATTTTTTATTTTTTTTTATTGGAGTGGAGGACTACTATAGAAAGGATTACTCTTACCAAAACCGGTGTTTTCTCAAAATGTTGTTTTTTTTTTTAGCTGGCGTAACCCTTGAAAATAGCCTATTAACAAGCATTTTTATATCAGCAAGTATTACTTTTTCTTGTGCTACAGGTAGTCATGGAGTGTTGCCAAGCTGAAGAAGGGAGTTCTACTTTTGCAAAACTTCTCGAAAAAGTTAAGGATGGCCAGAGCATCGTGGTGGAGACAGTGCTTGCATTGCTGAAGTTGTGCCGTCATACAAATCCAAGTGTTAATGAGTTATTAAGAGAGAAAGACCTGACTGGGAATGACTCAGAGGTGGAACATTCAGGTAAAATTTGTTAATGTAGACTACAAAATAGGAAAAAGTGCAGCTTTCCTCCAAATACTAGTAAAATCATGTTCTGTTTTATTATGCCTTTTATAGATTCTGCCGTTACAGAAAAGACCTTGTTTGATCTGTTAGTGGAACATAGAGAGGAGCTTGTTCAGTGTATTACGGAGCTTAGTCCTATTATTGAGTGCCTGGATACAGCTGAGGAAGGATTCCTTACCAATATTGAAAAACAGGTTTGTCACTTGTGGTTTTTGTTTCTTTAGTTTTTTTTCATAATTGACTTTGTTTCCACTCAGAATGGAACACTTCAACGTTAGAACTATATACGTAGGTGGGCTTCTTTTTACATTTATTCAAGCCACCTCCTGGTCAAGTCTTCTGAAATATTTTTCCTCCCTTTTAATCCAGCGCCCTTTTTGAAGTTCTGCTCCAGCCAGTGCTTAAGAAGCATTGGGGAGCAGGGAGCATACACAGCAAATTGGATTGATGATGCTTCTTATAGCAGATGCTCAAAGAAGATTCAGGGCAAGGTCAAGAGTCATGGAGAATGGTGGAAAATGGTACAAGTAATGTCCCTCCACACATATAGAAACATCAGCCAGAGCAACAGAGAGGAACTGGGCTGTGGGCTCTAGGAGACCTTCATTCAGTGTTAAACCATTCAAAAAATTTAAAGGGACTCACGTTGCTCTCTTATTACTCCTTGGACATGAATGCTTACCACGTAAACTACAAAAATAAAAACTAGTGAGAGTTAAAAATAAACCGCGTAACCTAGACACCTATGCATAAATCTCAGAAGAAAGCTGCTCCCAGTGTTTTAAAGAGAGCTTTAGATATCTAGAATGTAAAGTGATGTGTGTGACGATGTTAAACTCTTATTGAAACATAAAATACAACTTTTTGTTAGGAAATCCTCCTTAGCATGCCTTCATATAAATCCGTGGCAGGCATTTGAGGTCAGCTGGTGGGATAACGTTTACACACTGTTGTTCTTATGTCAAGTTTAGCATTTTATTATCACATTATTCTTAAAACTGGATAGGGTAACATGGGGTCTGGTAACTTATGTTAGGTTAGATACTTTTTAAAGTATTCCTTAATGTCTGACAGAATGTACGATTTGTTTTTGTTTGTTTGACTGGGGGGGTTGTATTTATTTTTTTCCCCTATAATATTGCTAATTTCTTGTCAGGTGATTATTGATTGTTGTGAGGGTGGATCCCACAAAGAGACCATGGACAGACTTTTGAGGAAAGTTTTAGAAACCAAAACATTGAGCCCGGATAGCTTGGTGAAGCTTTTACAAGCTGTGAGGGAGGCCTTTCCAGATCTACACTCTCTACTGGAACTACTAGAACCGAATAGCAAACAATCAACCTCTAAAGGTACTGAAAAATGTCTCTTCACATTGTCCTTGTTTGCTGGGAAGATTATTGTTTCCATTACAGGATGTTTGTTAGTAATAGTGTGTTTAGATATTTCAGGCTTGACTTAAATCTAGATGGGACAGTGCTTTAAAAGAACACTCCAAATACATAACGCACTTCAGATTGCTATTATGGTGGAGGCAGGCAGTGGCACCCAGCAGACACCAAATAAGAAGTCAAACCATTGTTCAACAGTTTGTTCCCTTTTACAGTGGGGGGATGCCAAGGCACTTCTTGCACCATAGGCACTACTGTAAATAGAAGTGGTTGTGGTGCTTATAGTGGTCCTTTCATGACCAAAACATCTCGTGCCCCTTTTAATAGATTATGATCCCTCGGTCACTGGACACAGGGATTACTACAGTTTTGTGGACCTTTTTACTCAGATTCTCTGCTCAACCAGAATTTATAAAAATCCTCATCTCCTGTAACATATTCCTACACAACTTTCTTTTAACCCCTTAACGCCGTTACGGCGTTCTATGCCGTCCCCATTTAAATGGGCTTTAAAGCCGTTGCGGCGGCATAGAATGCCGTAACGGCTTGCAGCTCCAGGAGGTCAGATTTACTTACCTCCGCCGCAATCCTCTCCGGTAGGAATGCCTGACAGCCCAGGCAGCCCTCCCACAGCAAATCAGGCCTCCGGGGGCCATGTGATCACTCTCAAAGAGTGATCACATGGCCCCTAAAGCTGGCTGTGGATCTGCCAGCAAGGGGACTGTCTGAAATGTCAGACAGTCCCCCTGCGGTGGGAAGTATTAAAAAAAATTATTAAACATGTTTAAATTAATTAAATGTATTAATTAATTAAATGTAATAGATATACATCTTATATATATGTAATGTCATACATAGTGTATTTTAATGTTAATATAAGTACATATTAGTATTAAAATACACTTAGAATGAAGTTACATATATATGAGATATATATATATATATATATATATATATATATATATATATATATATATATATGAGATATATATATATGAGATATATATATATATATTACATATATATTTTATATTTATATATATATGTATAATTACAAGAATAAATACAATAATAAAATAAATAAAATATATTTTAAAAAAAAGATATATACATAAGTAATTTCATTCTAACTGTATTTTGTTATTAATATATATAGGTAACAAAATACACTTAGTATGACATTCTGTCTATATCTATCTATCTATATATAAAATACAAATAACCAACAAGGAGTTCCTTTTACCTTGTGAACAATAGAACAAAACAAGCTAGTAAATTAGGTGGACAGCGCTAAGAATTATTATAATAAAATCATACATACACAGGTGGTAGCAGATTTCGCAATTATGTGTCTTACTCAAAAAACAAAAAAAGGAAATAAAAGTACAATGATAGTGCAGTATGTTATGAATAATATGGTGATAAAGATATATTCCAAAGGGGCACTCACGTTTTCCAGAGCTTAAAAAGCTCTATTTTAGGAGCCTGGACGAAACAATCCCTGTCTAAGGATTTATTTTTGCTGGTATCAGATTCCCAAGGTAGTGCGGTTCATCATATGAAAAAAATAAGGATGTATACCAATGATACAGTACTAATGTAAAAGTAGGATAAGTAAATAATATTTGACCTACTTACATTTGCTAGAGCAATGACCTGCTCTAGTGTATGGAGCTTTAGGTGGAACAATCCCCACCTAGGGATATATGTAGATCTGGAACAGCAGAGTGATGGTGAGAGTATAAGAAGCTCAAGAGTGACTGGGTATTAAAACAGAATCTTTATTAATAAACAGAATGAATAAAACTATTTAAAAGTGAACTATATAGTAAAAAGAACTATATATAAAACCAGTCCTTGTAGGCAATCCTTAATCTCCACTTGACATGTTTCGCTTACAGCTTTCTCAAAAGTGAATGAAAATATATATATATATATATTAGAGAGAGAGATATAGCTATATAGATATAATAGAGAGAGAGATATAGCTATATATAAATATAGAATTTAAATACATATATGTGTGTGTGTGTGTGTGTATATATATATATATATATATATATATATATATATATATATATATATATATATATATATATATATATATAAATTCTACATGTATATTTAAGTAATCTTTTAACATAATTATGTGATTTTAATTAATTAAAACTTGATTGACATGTCTGACAACCCAGGCAGAAAGTGTAGAGAATGTAATTCGCCAGCACTATATTTAACCCTGTAACTTTCCAAGACACCATAAAACCTGTACATGGGGGTACTGTTTTACTCTGGAGACTTCACTGAACACAAAAATTAGTGTTTCAAAATTATAAATTGTATAACGATGATATTTTCAGTAAAAGTAAAAGTTTTTTGCATTTTTAACACACGAATGGCACTTTTACTGACAATGTTATTGTTGTAATATGTTTTACGGTTTTGAAACCCTTATGTTTGTGTTCAGTGAGGTCTTCCAAGTATAACAGTACCTCCCATGTACAGGTTTTATGGTGTTTTTGAAAGTTAGAGAGTCAAATATAAGGCTTGCATTTCATTTTTTTCACATTCACATGAAATTTGCCAGTTTGGTAATGTTGCCTTGGAGACCGTATGGTAGCCCAGGAATGAGAATTACCCGCATGATTGCATACCATTTGCAAAAGTAGACAACCCAAGGTATTGCAAATGGGGTATGTCCAGTCATTTTTAGTAGCCACCAATGCTGATTGGCCAGGGCTGTGTTTGAATCATGCTGGCTCTGCCCTTGATCTGCCTCTTTGTCAGTCTCAGCCAATCCTATGGGGAAGCATTGTGATTGGATCAGGCTACCACATGTCAGCAGACTGCTTGTTTTTCTGAGTCTAACAGCATGCATAGTTACAGTTTCAGGCTTGAATACAGTAAGATTGTTACTATATTTATGGAGGAATGAGGGGCCCAGGGGGGGGAGATGGTGGTGTTAACACTATAGGGTCAGGAATACATGTTTGTGTTCCTGACCCTATAGTGATCCTTTAATGCATTTGAGTTGTTCTGGCAGCACGAAGAGGGACCTACACAATATTATGCAGGTGCTTTTAATGTTATGGCTGATCAGTATATTTGCTAAACCGTGTGATTGATGGAGAAATACATTCAATGTCTTATTTCAATACTTCATTGTGTTAAGTGTGAAAAAAACTAGCAAGGTCTGCGATCTTGCATTTGTGCATGGATATACTATTTTACTTGCAGTCATGAGGGCAGATTATATGAAGGGTGACAGCATGTAACTAGTGCATATTCATTGCACCAATTATCTGATTACACCCCATTTTGCTACTTGGCTTATTTATTTTTTTTAGGCTGCATTTATTGTACTTTAAATTGCAATGAGCGTTGTATGTGCTTGCACAATTATTTCTTTACAGTAATGTTGAGCACAGCTGACTTTGGACTAGAGTTGCTCAGACAGTACCAGGAAAATTTTTGTGAAGTGGTTACTTCGTCAGAGATGGTGATTAGTGATATTTCTTCAGCTACCAATTTAACAGCTTATGAAACACAGGTAAATATGAAACTCACTTAAAAATTATTCTGTATGGATGATTACATGGTTTTAGGCAATGTCTTATCATGTACACCATTTTTAAACCAGCTGTTGAATGTGTTTTTAACCTAAGGTCTTGGAACAAATTGCAAAAAAGAATTCAAATTCCCGGATTTTCAACACTCTGATTAATTCTGTGTTAGATGATCAAACCTTAACGGTAATGGCGTGCTGGCAGCTGTTATTTGCAATGCAAACCACTAATGTGTCTCTTAAGTCACTAATTGAAGAGATTCGAAAGGAGCCTGGTGCCGATGCTTTCTTCCTGACTGGTAAATTAAAAACTCCCTTGAAATATACTGAATCTGTCCATTTAACTTAAATAGTGAGTTTGCATTTACCATTTTTGTGTGATTATTTTTTTTTTTTGCTTGCCAGTATCCAACAGAGAAAATGAAGCTGCTGATATTTTGGTGCGCCACAGCGACTTAATCGTAAAAGCACTTGGCCAGAACAACACTCTTGAGTCTGCACTTCCTGAAGATAAAGCATTGTCAGATTTGGTGAAAGAGGTGAACTTTTTCTTATTTATTTATTCTTTCTACTTCTAGATTTGTATTGATCTGCAGTACACTGAATGTGAAGTTATGCAGTCACATATGTATTCTACAATTGCAGATTATACTAGCTTTAGTGTAACTATAATCTTAATTTTATTAATGACGAATATTTGCTTAAGTCTCTCTTTACTAGAACTCCACAGCAGTACATTAACACAGAGAAAAAACAACCAATCAGAAAAAAGTAAAGAAACCATATAAGGCCCCTCCCAACCAACTATTTCCTCTTTCAAGCTGCGACAAAACAAAGTACATAAACAAGATATAATAAAATAATAATAGAAGAAAAATCTAACGAAATCCGACAATGACTGTCATCCGAACTCAAAACAAAAGTTGATCCGTAGAGGAATTCCCATAATCAATAACTGACAGTACAACATCCCAGAAAAACACACTCTAACTTCCCCTAAATAGACAATACTAGTCTGTCTACCACCGTCCTGGAGAATAGACTAACACTAAAAAATAGGACAACAAAAACAAACAACGATAAGGGAAGGGTGAAACTGGGAGGGAAATATTCGCCTCCTGTCATTAATAAAATTAAGATTATAGTTACACTATAGCTAGTATAATCTACAATTTTATAACATGACAGGAGGCTTCAGATTTGCTGTTTTAACGCGCCGACAGCAAAGCAAAAGAAACCTAACCGACGGTCTACAATAACTTGACAACAAGTATCTTCTTGTGACCAATCAGCCGAATGCATGATGTCTAGCAGGGAAACGCCTGCCCTAAAGGCACCGGAAGCCACCGCGCCTCTAACCGAAAGCGCTCCGGAGCTCAAATTCATCCCCGCCACTGTCAATAACCATTTAATCCATTGCGCCATAGTAGGAGTCAAAACCGATATGTGAGGTCTGACCTAAGAAATCAACAACTGGCCGGAAGGAGAATAGTCCTCGCTACCCAGCGCTTAGGCGCATCGCGGAAATAAGGCTAACCAAAATTACCGTTGAATCCGACTGATACGCCCTGACCCCATCCAAAGGAAAAGAAAAAACGTCGCACTCGAAGGCCCAGTCCTCAAAACCACTACTGAAAGAAATAAGGCATAGCAAGAGAGAGGCCCCGAGAATCAGGTCTATCCCGAAGAAAAACGCCAAAAACGCGCGCATGTCCCAGAGGTAGGAATACTAGGCAGGGTGGACACTACAGTCTCATACCACGAAGAAGCCTGCCGACTAGCAGATCCTGACCAAAGGGTAGACTCTAATCAGTACGTGGGCCGCGAATGTTGATCTCGCCACCTTAACCGAACGATACGCTCGTCCCAGAACAAACAAACCAACAGAAAGTACAGCACGCTGGTTACAGGACCCGTGAAGGGATCGGTATCCCGTTCCAGACACCACCGACACCAGGAGCCCCATGTTGAAAATAGCATCTCCTAGTCCCAGGGATCCCAGAGGAGATCCTAGCCGACTGCGATCATGCCTCGACCTTCCAGGCTCCCCTGAAAGAGTCCAGGCCACCAATTGTAGATGACAGTCCTTCACAAAGGGATGAGGATCGAATCCGAGGGGAGCATCAGTGATGCCGGCATGAAAACCCAGACTTGGCCCCGCCATAGCGGAGCCAGCAACACCAAGGACACGCCGACTGCGCACTTGCAGTAATACCCTGGGAATCAAAGCCAATGAATGAAACGCATAAACTCCCCCTGAAGGTCACGCCTGGAGAAAAAAAACGTCCACTGTTGAGCACGCCGGGTCCGGAAGTTAGCTGAAGTAGGTCGGAACCTGAAAATTCGTCCAGGAGGCGAACAGATCCACCGTGAACGAGCGCCTCTGGCCCACGAGTTCGAGGAAGGTGGGCCGAAGATGTCGTCCATTGCTGGTGTCCCTCCAATGTCTGGAGAACCAACTCACCATCAGGTTCGACTCTCCTGTTAAATACACCGCCAGGGGGTGAATTTGTGCTGGAGGCAGAAACTGTATATTTCCTACGTTACCTCCAGACATAGGATCGTCCTTATCACCTTCCGAATGGTCGCTATCTTGGATAGAGGCAGCCGTAGGACCTTCTTTTGCATCTACTTCGAAACCGAAGGACTCGACCACCTGGGCAGGAGAGAGAGCTAACTTCTACCGGATGACCACGAACCATAGGTGTTCAAATAAAGGGAACGCACAGTGCGTCTGACACTTCAGTCTGAATGGCTCCTCGCAGAATTGCATGTCCAGAACCCACTGTACAGCCCACTTGTTGAAATGGAGCCCGAATCACCGCGTCTGTCAGGGTCTGTTGCTCACTTGAGGCAAAGGGGACCGGTGGAGGACGCACCTGAGTCGGAGGGAAATGAAGAAGCTATGACATATCCCCGAACCGTCTGAAGAACGATGGTTCACAGGATCCTCGGCGGTCAGAAAACCAGAAGCAGCTGGAGACGCGACCCTGCTGTCGTCCAGCGGTGCCAAAGAAAAATACCAGTGAAAACTGTGGCGAAAGACCCGTTACACTGAGGTCTGCACCTTGTCCTAGGAAGTGAACAGGTTCACGTATTTGTGCAGTTCCATAATGAAAGGTTCCCCCAATAGCAGACCTTTTGCCAAGGGGTCCAATTCCTTTGACCCCCAAGTCTGACAACTTGATGTCCATCCTCAAGGGGGGCCGCCTTCCTGCGTTCCGTGGAGAGGGCCACGTTTGTATCGCCCAGTAGGCAAATGGATCGCAAAACCTAGTCCCGCATGGCGGTAGGGTCCAGAGTAGCCCCCTTCCGAGTAAGTCTCCTCAGCCACCATTAACATCCTGCACAGGAAGCACAGCATGTCCAGTAGTCCTGTGTCAACAGAGGCTGCTCTCGACCCCTTCATGGGATCATGCCCCGTATGGGTCATGTATGTAGCGACCATGGAGTCAAATTCCGGGGTTGTGGTGGGCTTATCCGGTAGTACCGGTCTGGGGCATTCAGCCCAAAATTATCTGCGCATCTCCCAATCAAGAGGTCTGCGGACCTAGTAATATACTAATTGTGCCAAGTGATCGGGAAAGGACTATGCGGGGTGTCGAATGGCCTGAGGGTCGAACAAGGGTTCGTCCACGGCATCCAAGAAAGTGTCCTTGTCCGTAGTCTTAGCCGCCACCCCAGACGTGGAGGCATCCTCCGGTTTACGGTGCCACTTAGGGTCATCTCCAAGGTCCCTTCCCCACTCAACTTCCTCCTCAGAGGGGAACTGGCCTGCCTGCCATACATCCAGGATGGCCGTATAAGGGGGAAGGGTATAGAAGCCCCCTCTCTGGCGCCTGGCAGGCGGTGGCGTCTGGACAATGAGGCCGACAAATCCGGGCCAAGACGCTTCGCCGGAGCCTTGCCTTTCCAGGAGCGTGGCACAGGGCCTTCACCCTTCCAATACCTCCCTTGCCGGTACTCTCCTAGGAGAGTCCGACTCAGCCGAGTCGTCTGCCATATGGGATATTTCCCTAGCGCCCCATTCCGGTTGAGCTAAAGGGAGGGCCCTAGCCAGGGCCTATTCAGCAGAGGCGGCCACTGCCGCATTAATCATGGCTTGCAGATTCTGCTCTTGGGTAGATGGTTCCGTGCTCAAGGAGCCGTGGGCAAGCGTGACACCAACGGGTATAAGGACAAGCGTCACCAGTATGTAAACGGATCAGCACCCCTAATAATGGCAGAGGCAAGCAGTTAACGTATACAGTGTCCAGGTGGGCATGTAGAGCCGTCAGGCGTACATAAAGAATGGCACAGTCAGAGCAGGCCAATCAAGGGGCACAGTCAAGGCCGGCCAATCCAGTCACAGCCAAGCAAGCTAGGTATATGGACCCAGGCAGCGTCGGCCAAATAGAGGCACCTTCAAGGTAGGCCAATCAGATATAGCAGGGAGTGTGCCCGAGGCTAGGATGTCCGGCATGCAGAAAGCAGAGATAAGCATCCACAGATAATGCAATAATGACATGTTGCACCAGGAAAGATACATTCAGATTACTCTGGTGTCCAAAATATGTCCTGGGGTGTTACTACCCCCCCTTAAGGATACTCATTTATGTACTTCAGCAGGTTGAGGGACAGAGCCAACTCTGCCAGGGTGTGAACCTGTGACCCCTCAAGTATTCAAAATATTCTAGTGATGATGCATCAACCCACTGTGCTATCACCCTGATATATGTAAGCAGGGGAGGCTGCACGGTAGAGGGGAGTGCAGCATTTGGACTACAACTGCCACCACCAGTCTCCTGGCAGCCAGAGAAAGTGAGCCAGACAGAGCAGGGACCTGGGCATAAACAGGTAACCGTGGAGGGGGCAAAAAAACCTGCAGCCAAATCTCCCCTCCGGGTACAGTGCATATCCCTTTAAATGGCACTAAACGAGCATTGTACCTTTAAGAGTGGCCGGCACTATGCCGCAACCCGCCGGCATGCACCACGAGGTCGCGGGAGGGTGAGCAAGGAAACGGTTACCGGCAGGAAGTGCATAACTGACCGGGATATCCAGTGAAAAATCAAAACACTGCCTTTCCTTATGCACACACATCATGCAGCTCTCAGCACATGTCGGTGCGACATAAGAAAACGGTCACAGACAGAGCAGGAACTGACTGGGATAATAGTGAAAAATCATACAATGCTTGTCCCTATTCACATACATCCTACTGTAATACAGGGAAAACGGTCACTGACAGTAAGACTTGAACTGACTGGGATAATAGTGTAAAAATCATACATGCTTTGTCTCTATTAGCATACACCATACTGTAACACAGGGAAAAAGAGTCACTGACCGTACAAGCATGAACTGACTGTCAGACGATTGGGAGCAGTCACTCCCACGTGGTCAGCCTGCTCTCCCACTACTGTCCACAACCACCCTGCCAAGCTGCGGTAATCCGACGCGCGCGAGCGGGGACAGGGTGGGAGAGAGCAGGCAAACAGCTCCCGTCCGGGAGACTGGGAAACACGTGGGACCGCCAGAGTCTTACTCTGCGGTCCCTGCGGACGGCAACGGGAGGAGGACCGCCACTCAGCTACCGCAGAGATGGATGGAGGAAGGGAGGGAAGGTGGCATAAACTGCCGGGCAGGGCGAAGGAAATGGGGAACAGGCTACCCTAGGGCCCTAGCCGGCAGGACAGACCACCAAAAACCCCAAGCAGGAAGAACCCTGCACAAATATGAATAAAAAAAATATATATATCAGCTATGAATAAATTATGAACAAATATGTGTAAAAAATATGTATAAATATCCACAGCCACCCAAAGTAAAAGGAGGCAGTGGTACTCTGACCTGTGCTTGATGCGGAGCAGCAAAGAAAGAGGAAATAGTTGGTTGGGAGGGGCCTTATATGTTTCTTTACTTTTTTCTGATTGGTTGTTTTTTCTCTGTGTTAATGTGCTGCTGTGGAGTTCTAGTAAAGAGAGACTTAAACAAATATGAAGCCTCGTGTCATGTTATAAAATTAGCAGTACAGTCTGCATCCAAAAAATAATTTCTGCACGTATAAATAATATAAAAGCTTGATATTTATGGGTGTATGAGCATAGCCAGTAAAATGTCACAGGGAGTGTTAAGACCTAAAATACATTTAAAATGTAGCACAGAAGCATTAGCACCACAGTTTGTTTAGTGCACTACGTTTTAGGCCTACCCAGGTACATTTGCCTGTGAAAGCTTTAAGTGGATACTGTTGCAATGGAGTTTTTCTGTTTCCAGTTAATTCTGATTATAAATCTGCTGTTATAATTTTGACTCAACTTTTCAATACATTCAGATCTTGTGGGTTTCTGTGAGATGGCTCCTTTATGTTTGTTACTTCTTGGATTAATGCTTCTCACTTTACTTTTTAAACCAGTCTATGTGAAATATGGGTCTTTAAGGTTAGCACAACTAAATGTAACTGCCGCACGTTTTCTCATCCTTTCAATATTTGATTAATAAGCTTTAATAATTGTGACAATGTTGCACTGAAAGAAAGTTTTGCTGCTAATGTTAACATGTGTGAAACAGTGCATTCACTTTTTTTTTTTTTTTTTGAGGGTTTATGTTTAACTGTGTATAGGTCACTTATTATGATCTCTTATTCCTTCAGCTTTTCAATACACCAGCAGAAAGTGAAGACAGCGATGCGAGTTTCAAGCTCCTGACTTCTGCACTGCAGCAAAACATACCAGTCATGAAATTCTGTAATTTGCTCTTCACTGTCCAGGACTCTGCTCCAGACTTACAACCTGTTATAAAAGAGCTAGAGCAGCTGGGTGAGTATATCATAAAATATTGCTCTGCCATGAGATTTGCAAAAAACAATAGCTTTTCCTGTATAAGAATAAAAAGTACCTAATTGGCATCCTTTAGACCAGTTATGTGGCCACCATCAACCATTCACACGATTAATTCTTCTAATGTAGTCTCCATATTTAGTGTGCTGTTGGAAAAAATTAATGTATTGGGCTTCCCAAAGGGCCAACAATAGTTCGAGAATCAGAGAACGGACACAAGTTTGGTTAGATCCTACTTGGTGGACTCAGTTGATTTTTAGCTATGTTATGTATTCAGTGTACAGGGAAAGTATTGCCAAAAGAAAAAATGGCCATGTAGTTTGCATTGTATATATGTCTCTTTCTCATATGCTTGTCATAGGCTTAAAAAAACAAAACAAACTGGGTGGTATGTTTATTCCTCATTCTTGGGTTCTCTACCAGAGGCATGGGAGCTTGAGGGTTCTGCGTAGTATCTTAGCTGTTCCTAGAACTACACTCTTCTGGACAGCGATCTCAGATGTCCCACCTGGAATCTGTTGAAGCCACTTCCCCCAACTTGGGAGTCACAGCCCCGAGTGCTCCTATCACAACTGGGACCACTACTGCCTTCACTTTACATATTCTTTCTAGTTCTTCTTTCAGTCCTTTGTATTTCTCCACCTTCTCATGTTCCTTCATCCTGATGTTATAGTCACTGGGTATTGCCACATCCACCACGACTGCAGCCTTCCATTCCCTGTCTACCACCACAATGTCAGGTTGGTTGGCCAGCACTTGTTTGTCTGTCTGGATCTTGAAGTCCCACAGGATTTTAGGCCTGTCATTCCCGCAGGTTCAATCCATATCCTTTCTTTCATATGTCTAACCATGTATGCTGTTCCTGCTAACATCTTGCATCCGGCTACTAGGTGCTGGACTGTCTCAGAGGCCTATTTGCACAGTCTGCACCTTGGGTCTTGCCTGGTGTGGTAGACTCCAGCTTCTATTGATCTGGTTCTGAGTGCTTGTTCCTGTGCTGCTAGGATTAGTGCCTCAGTGCCGTCTTTCAGTCCTGCTTTTTCCAACCACTGGTAGGATTTTGTCATATGAACCACATCAGCTATCTGTCAGTGGTACACCCCATGGAGAGGTTTGTCTTGCCAAGGAACCTTCTCTTTTCTGCATCATCTATCAGTTGAAGTCTCATTTCATCTTTTGGAGCCATCTTCGTGATGTACTTGTGGATGCTCTATGTTTCATCCAGGACTGTTAACTTGACACTCATCAGGCCCCAACCTCCTTCCTTCTGGCAGGTGTACAGTCTCTGGGTGCTGGATTTCAGGTGGAATCCTCCATTCATAGTGAATAGTTTTCTGGTCTTGACATTCATGTTGACCAGTTCTTCTCTTGGCCAAGTTATTATTCCAGCTGGATACCTGATGACCGGTAGGACATATGTGTTGATGGCTTGGATCTTGTTCTTACCATTGAACTGGGACTTCAGGACCTGTCTGACTCTTTGGAGGTACTTAAATGTTGCTATCCTTCTTGCCTCTTCGTCATGGTTGCCATGTGGTACCCCCAGGAACATATAGCTGTTCTCTACATCTTCTATTTGGCCTTCTGGAACTCCTTCTGTCCTGATCATCATCCCTCTTTTTGCTATAATCTGCCCGCACGTCTCTCTAGTCCGAACGACATTCCAATGTCCTTGTATATCCTAGTTAGGTGAATCAGTGAGTCAATGTCCCGCTCATTCTTGGCATACAGCTTGATGTCGTCCATGTAGAGTAGGTGGCTGATGGTAGTTCCGCTCTTGAACCTGTATCCGTATCCACTCTATGTTTGATGATCTGGCTAAGGAGATTGAGGCCTATGTAGAACAGCATTGGGGATAGCACATCTCCTTGGTATATGCCACATTTGATGTTCACTTGAGTTATTGTCCTGGAATTGGCTTCTAGAGTTGTTTTCCACTTGCCAAACGAGTTTTTGATGAAGGCTTATTGTCTTGCTGACCTTGTAGAGAGCCAAGCATTCCCAGTATCCATGTGTGTGGATTAATATTTTATATAGTGTGTGTGTGTGTGTAGATTTTTGTTTAACATTGTATTAACTATCCTATATATTATTATTCACGGCAGTTTATGGGTTATGTAATTTATCATCTGGAACTATGTAATGTATTTCTACACACATGCATCACTTTATTTAGATGTATCTGACTGTGTGTAACAATTAGCACAGCTGTGGACCGCATAGGTGATCTCAGTCCAATTTGTTCTTGTGTAGTGCACACGCAGCATTCTCATTGATAACTTGACAAGTTAATATTGGCAGCCTGGCGTGACAGATCTGGGGGCTGCTTTACAGCTACAGTGATTTTTTTAATTTTATTTATTTTTTTATTTTTATTTTTTTACGAAATGCTGCTATAAGCTACTCACAGCTGATAGTGGGTGCAGGTTGCTCTTTGCACCCTCAGGTTTCCAATCATGCAAGATTGTATGGTACTTAGAGTGACTGTTTCAGCAGATCATCTGTCATGCACCTCCAAATTAATTAGTATATTTATAGGTTTCTAGTATTTCTTTTTGCTTAACAGCGTTCTATGCCGTCCCCATTGAAATGGGCTTTAAAGTCGTTGCGGCAGCATAAAACGCCGTAACGGATTAAGCCCCCAGGAGGTAAAATTTACTTACCTCCGGCGCGATCCTCTTCGGGAGGACTGCCTGACAGTCCTCCCACGGCAAATCAGGCCCCCGGGAGCCATGTGATCACTCTCAAAGAGCGATCACATGGCCCCCTATAGTTGGCTGTGGATCTGCCAGCAGGGGGACTGTCTGAAATATCAGACAATCCCCCTGCTGGTGGGAAGTATTAAAAAAACGTTATTAGACAAGTTTAAAATAAAATAAATGTGTGTATGTATGTATGTATGTGTATGTGTGTGTGTGTGTGTATATATATATATATATATATATATATATATATCTATCTTATTTATATGTAACGTCATACGTAATGTATTTTAATATTAATATAAGCACATATATTAGTATTAAAATACTTAGAATGAAGTTACATATATATGATATATATTGTATACATATATATTGTATACATATATATTTTATATTTATATATACACGTATAATTACAAGAATAAATAAATAAAATTTAAAAAATAAAATAAATTTATATATACAAATGTAATTTCATTCTAACTGTATTTTGTTTTTTATATATATGTAACAAAATACACTTAGAATGACATTCTATATATATCTATCTATATATAAAATACAAATAACCGCAAATATATGATTGCACACCAATTGCAAAAGTAGACAACCCAAGGTATTGCAAATGACGTATGTCCAGTCATTTTTAGTAGCCACTTAGTCACAAACATTGGCAAAATATTAGTTTTTTGCTTTTTTCCCCACAAAAAAACAAATATGAACGCTAACTTTGGCCAGTGTTTGTGACTCAGTGGCTACTAAAAAAGACTGGACATACCCCATTTGCAATACCTTGGGTTGTGTACTTTTGCAAATGGTAGTCATGGGGGTAATTCTCATTCCTGGGCTACCACACGGTCTCAAACGTAACATTACTAATCTGGCAAATTTTAATGTGAAAAAAATAAAAAATGGAATGCGCTATATTTGACCCTGTAACTTTCCAAAACACCATAAAATCTGTTAATGGGGGGGTACTGTTTTACTTGTGAGACATTGCTGAATGCAATATTTGTGCATTTTATTGGGGTAAAAGCAAACCGTATCATGACATTTACAGATAAAATGTCAGGCAGTACTCCTTTTTTCTTTTTTTTTTTTTTTCTTTTTTTTTAAATCTTAATTTCTCACAGTTTTTATTTTTATTTTATTTTATTCATAATAAGTTATGTTTCATATATGAATAGTTCATGAGAAGTTAAAGCCCTGTTTCTCCTGAACAAAATGATATATAATAAGTGTGGGTGCACTTAATATGAAAGAGGTGAATTACGGGTGAACAGATATATAGCGCAAATTCCAGGTTTTGTTTACATTTTGTTTTGATCAGAACGTGTACTATTGACTCCGTCCTGAAGGGGTTAAATGTGATTATTTTTCTGTGTGTGTATATTGTAACATTTTGTTTGTGTTTTTGTTAGGCTTGCTTATGGACGAGAGATCAAATATGCAAGGTATCAGCAAGTGGAATGTTGCCAACGATTTCCAACTAGTAGTTGTTGAAGAGTTTGGTGAAAGAAACGATGAAGACGAAGATACTAAAGATGATGAAAATGAAGAGGCAGAGGCCAAGAAAGAGGAGTCTGAATCAACACAGGAAAAGGAATCTGCTGGTTCTACTAAAAAGAGATATGTCTGCCAGTCATGTGACAAGATATTCCTGTTCCGTTGTCGTCTAGAGGTGCACATGAAGCGCTGCCGGATGGCAAAGAGGAATCCTTTACAATGCAAGGATTGTAATGAGGTCCTAACTTCTAGAAAAGAGCTAGATCAACATCGAGAGGAAATTCATGGTTTTGCGACGTTTCCTCGATCAACCAAAGGGAAAAGGAAATTGCTTGTTACATGTGATATTTGCGGAAAGGAGTTTGCACATCCGTCAGGTACATTTAAAAAAAATGCCAATTCGTTATCCTGCTAATGCAATCCTAAAATGGGCTTTTTATTGGACTGGTTGTTAGACTGTACTACACAAGAACTGCATAACCTATTTATTTTATTGTTTCATGAAATGTTGTTTCATAATTTTTTTCCATTTCTTGTTGGGACTTTGTATTAACTGTATAAATTAAAGGAACACTCAAAGCACCATATAGATGGTGGATATGGTGCCCTGGTGTGGCTCCTCTGTTGCAAGTCAAGTAATTTTGCAGGGCTTAGCAGATTGGATCAGTCAACACTCTCAGCAAATAAGCTAGCCTTGCGTTACAAGGTTTAAAGGGACATTATAGTCACCAGAACAACTACAACTTAATGCGTTTGTTCTGGTGAGTATAATCATTCCCTGCAGGCATTTTCATGTAAACACCGCCTTTACATTGCCACTTAGGGAGACCCTTTAGTGTCCACTTCTCAGATGGCAACTGGAGGTACTTCCTGGGGCAGTGCTTCACAGTGTGTAAGGAGACGCTGAACTTTCCTCATAGAGATGCATTGATTCAGTGCATCTCTATGAGGAGGTGCTCATTGGCTAACCCTGCTTTTAGCCCTTGTCAATTTCAGCCAATCCGATGCTTTGCCTATGGGAAAGCATTGGATTGGCTAAAATCATAAATTCTGATGTCAGCAAGAAGGCGGACCTGGGGCGGAGCCAGCAGACCCACGCAGCGCTGGAAATAAGGTAAATTTCCTTACCTTTTAAGGAGGGGACACAAGCCACCTAAATGGTGGTTTTAAGACTATAGGGTCTGGAATACATGTTTGTGCTCCTGACCATATAGTGCTCCTTTAACTCAGGACAGCCAACGTAAGCTGCTGCCAGGAGCTTCCGGTTTTTCAATGTCCATTATTAATGTGGAGAGCAGTGCCCAGCGGACATCAGTTAAGAAGTCAAACCATTCTAAAAAGAACTATGAATGTGGGAGGCAGCAGAGTACTTATAGCACCAAGGCTAATAACCAATAGTCAGAGAAAGTATTTTTTACTATAGAAGGTTTTAAAGATGATGATGCTAGAGAGAAATGCATGAATAATTGGTGATCTATTCATTTCTGAATAGGAAGGCTGGTACGTTCAGGATCTGATATTGGTATTCACAGCATGATTGTCCAGTTAGATAAGAATGCACAAGTGATGAATGTGCAAACTGTTTATTTTTGTGTTCTCAGGATTACAGTATCACAAAAGAACAGAGCATTTTGATGAGAAGCCATTCTCCTGTGAAGAATGTGGTGCAAAATTTGCTGCCAACTCCACACTTAAGAACCATTTACGTCTTCACACAGGGGAGAGGCCTTTTGTATGTAAGCACTGTCACATGACTTTCACCCAGGCAGCTGCACTGTCATACCATACCAAGAAGAAGCATTCTGAAGGTATCTTTCTACTACTGTTTTCCAGGATGCCGCAAATGCATAAAAAATGAAAGGTTGGGAGGGATAGGGTTGAAAATACCGTGTACATATATAGAACTATAAAAGATAATGGATATGTGAAACAGGCGCTTAGATTTTCTTATGTAATGAACCCAAAATAATTACCAGCTATTCTCTCCTAATACACCACATTTAAAAACATGCTTTAACCAATAATTTATTTGTGGTTAACACATCGCAAACCAGAGTGGAACGCTGAAAATAAATCTAATATTTTCACTCACCCTTATACAGATGGAGCGACAGGAGTATTTTTAAAACACAAAAAAAGAAAAACGATTAATGTAAAACATATTTGTGTATGTATACATATTTTCCCCTTCCTCCTTGTCTCATAGTCAGATTAAGAGGGGCGGCCATGGCAAGACGGGCGCCCCAGTGAACTAAATGTATGTAAAAATATTATTTCACTTCTAGGAGGAGGATACTGCATTTACATCGGTAGCCTAGTATTATGTTTGTATACCTAACATTAGTGGAGTTAAAGGGTATAAAATTAAATATCTAGTACTACAATTTGTTAGTTATGACTTATTAAAATTAGTGTAATTCATATTTTGTATGTTTTTTTTACAGTTCAGTACATTTTTAAATGAACTATCTTATTTTAGGAAAGATGTATGTGTGCCAGTACTGCGATGCTGTCTTTGCACAATCCATTGAACTGACGCGGCATGTGAGAACCCATACTGGAGACAAGCCATATGTCTGTCGAGAATGTGGGAAAGGCTTCAGTCAAGCCAATGGTCTTTCCATCCACCTGCGTACATTCCATAGTAAGTGGTGGACTCTCCACTATAACTAGTTATTTTCCCAGAAAATATGAATGCAGCAATAGCAACTCATATGTAGGTTTGTGGTTCACTTTAGTGTGTCTTTCTTCTTCAGGAACAGTCACTATAAAAAAAGCTAATTATTCATACACCGTAGTATTTTAATTTTTTAGTGTGTCTTTCTTCTTCAGGAACAGTCACTATAAAAAAAGCTAATTATTCATACACCGTAGTATTTTAATTTTTTATATATATATATATATATATATATATATATTTTAAAGATATTACAAAGAGTTTTTGTAAAACATTATGGGTAATTGATTTATTGGTGTTTCTTTCAAATCAGATTTATTGAAGAGGTTTAGTATTTGAATAAAATAAAAAAAAGAAAGTTAGTGAGTATTGCAAAACTGTATGAAATTTCTTGTATATGTATTTTCACCGCTTATTTTATATGTTTAAAAGAAATTGTGCTTTGGTGATAAAAATTTTAATATCAACAATTTTTGCCAGATATTGAAGATCCATATGACTGTCAAAAATGTCGAATGAGTTTTCCTACTTTGGAGGAGAATCGACAGCACATTCAGGTTGTACATTCCAAGGAATACCATCCCTGTCCTACATGCGAGAAGATTTTCAGTGCTCCATCCTTACTTGAGCGCCATATTGTAACCCACGTTGGAGGAAAACCCTACAATTGTGAGATATGTGATAAGGCCTACCAGGTATGATGACTTCTTTTCTGAAATTCTTCTATTGTTTATATGTCACTGATGAAGTATAACAAATGGTTTTCAGCATATATACTGTAACAACTTAAAGGGACACTTCACCACCCAAATACTTAAACACCTAAAAATATGTTATATATTGGAAGGCGGGGCCTGAAGTTGTGGGAGGGGCTATGTACCTTTAAAAGGGACTCCCCCTCCTACCTAACTTAACCTAGACTGCTGAATACACACACAGACTGCTGAGTACACAGACTGTTGAATACACACACAATACTGCTGAATACACAAATACTGCTGAATACACAAATACTGCTGAATACACAAATACTGCTGAATACACAAATACTGCTGAATACACACACAATACTGCTGAATACACAAATACTGCTGAATACACACACACAGACTGCCGAGTACACACACACAGACTGCTGAGTACACAGACTGTTGAATACACACACAATACTGCTGAATACACACACAATACTGCTGAATACACACACAATACTGCTGAATACACACACAATACTGCTGAATACACAAATACTGCTGAATACACAAATACTGCTGAATACACAAATACTGCTGAATACACAAATACTGCTGAATACACAAATACTGCTGAATACACAAATACTGCTGAATACACACACAATACTGCTGAATACACACACAATACTGCTGAGTACACACACACAGACTGCCGAGTACACACACACACTCCTAAATACACACACACAGACTGCTGAGTGCTGACACACCACCACACAGACTGCTGAGTACACACCACCACACAGACTGCTGAGTACACACCACCACACAGACTGCTGAGTACACACCACCACACAGACTGCTGAGAACACACCACCACACAGACTGCTGAGAACACACCACCACACAGACTGCTGAGAACACACCACCACACAGACTGCTGAGAACACACCACCACACAGACTGCTGAGAACACACCACCACACAGACTGCTGAGAACACACCACCACACAGACTGCTGAGAACACACCACCACACAGACTGCTGAGAACACACCACCACACAGACTGCTGAGAACACACCACCACACAGACTGCTGAGAACACACCACCACACAGACTGCTGAGAACACACCACCACACAGACTGCTGAGAACACACCACCACACAGACTGCTGAGAACACACCACCACACAGACTGCTGAGAACACACCACCACACAGACAGCTGAGAACACACCACCACACAGACAGCTGAGTACACACACACACACACAGACTGCTGACACACACACACAGACTGCTGAGTGTACACACACACACACACACAGACTGCTGAGTGTACACACACACACACAGACTGCTGAGTGTACACACACTGCATTGAGGGGTACAGTGTATGTGTTTGTGTGTAGGGTGATGTGTGTGGGGGGGGGGTGATGTGTGTGTGTGTTTGTGAGGGGTGATGTGTGTAGGGCAGGGGTGCTGTGTGTATGTTGTCCCCCTCACTGTTTTCTTTCCCCCCATCCCTCCCTCAGTTTTCTTTCCCCCATCCCACACTCAGTTTTCTCCCCCCCATCTCTCCCTCAGTTTTATTCCCCCTTCAATTTTCTTTCTACCCCCCCATCCCTCCCTTAGTTTTCATTTCCCCCCCCACTTGACCTTGATCTCCTACTTTGTAGCGTGGCCAAGCGCACCGCAGAGCTCAGTTTCCTGTACCCGGCCGGACAGGAAGTGCTCTCTCTGTGAGCACTTCATTTCCATCCACCAGGGTACAGGAAACATAAGTTCCTGTACCGTGGCGCGCTCGGCCACGCTAGACAGAGTGCCTGGCAGGAGGGAGCGCTATGCGCTCACCTCCTGCCGGTCACTCCGGTTTTTCGCCCGCCGGGCCGGTGCACTTTAAGGCGGCCACTTGTGCCGCCTTATGGATGCGCCGGCGGAGCGCACCCTCCCTCCCTCCGGCGACCTGTGGCCGCGTGCCCACAGAGGGGGCTCGGTGTGCCACCTGTGGCACGCATGCCATAGGTTCGCCATCACTGCCTTAGAGAGTAGAGGTCCTGCGAGGCCAACACCCATCCTCCACGAAAGAGGTAATAGCGCCCACGGGCCAAATCATAGCCAGATGCCTCACATGTTGCATAGCAAGGGAATCACTCGTCACACCCACTCCACAGTTCATAGACTCATCCTTGTAAGCCCACATCCAGCAGATCACCCACTCGCGCCAACTATAGATAGAGCTGACCCAGCCACTTGGCAACTAGTAGGAACTCACCTGTCACCAGTCTAACGAATTGTTTCGCCACTTCGGCACTAGTTAAACAACTGTATACACCCTCAAGAGGAACTCGGGATTCCTACATATATATATTTTAGTACGTCCCAAGTTCCAGAAGAAGGAGATGACGTTCCTTTTCCAAGTACTACAACTAGAACTGCCACCCCTACAAAAAAGGGGGATTCCGGCAGTCCATCTTCAATTAGATCGTGGACCATCCCACGAATCACGGACAAATTACGCAAAGCAACATACCCTTTACACCTACTGCCCGCAAAGTAGAATTATACAGGCTAATGCAAGCCAATACTAACAAATCAGACACGGGGGCAAGCACAAGTGGCACGAGCAATGCCACCCGTTATACCAGGATCGCCTCTATAGTAACATCCCTGAGGCAGATGACCGATAGACTAGAGTGACTGGAAGCTCATGGCTGTCCAGTCGTGACACCAGAAACCACTCGCACTGAATTACCGGGCCCTCCCCATTCCCAACCCGGTAATTCTAACACGCCTATCTTCTTAGGCCCTCATGTCATTACCCCAACCATATGGTACCGACAGACCTCAAAGGACATCCTGAAGGACAAGGGCGTTAATCTCGTATCGCGTATCATCGCCTCCCAGGATGGCACAGTACACCGCTCATACACCTAGGGCGACATCTCAGTGGTCATTGGATGCTAGAGACACAAGACTGGAAAGATTGTTCATCAGTATGGTTATAACCTTCCTGGTCTTGTCAGTACAGACACTACTGCATTTTCACATGTCTCAGCCTATATTCCGGGCAAATTGGGTCCTGTACGTCTACCCTCAGGTCAGCCGACTCAACAGGTATATAGTATATTTAGTCATGGCATTCCGGCACCTCTATCAGGTTCCCCGTGTAGACCCTGCAACGATCATATGTTACGCTGACGGTTACTGGTCAATATCAGTATGACCATATTTCAATTATGGCTACGCTGTCGTGACCAGTAACTTTCAACTGACCTACAGCTTACAATATACCACCAACCCCACCTCATTAAATTCCACTAAGACTTACGTTACCTCCCAGTACCACTGGAACTACATTGGGCCTCTCTCAACCTCTTTTGCATAGTCCTCACACAAAGCCATCGATGGCCCTTTGGCGACGTAATTCAGTTAACCTTAGGAGACAAATACGTCTTATGTTGCAACCCCTCATTTGGCACTAAGTTTACATATCAGCTGGATAGGAATGTATGCGTAAAGTGCAGCTATCTCACAGCTTTCTACCTGTAAATCAACTCGTCTTATAGTATTATACTTCTGCTATATCTGGCACTGTCCACATACGGCCACACAGTAGCTCTCCTCACGACCCTGGCTACACGGACTACTCCTGGCCAAACGTACAGAAGGTAATAATTCCCTCATAACAGACGAACTACTTCAGTCTAGCATATTGTCAATTTACGACGCAGGCAACATGCCACATACATTATGATTCATCCTGAGTTATGTGGGTCATTTAAGTTTCCCAGGGTCGTCCTTACTACCCAGCCGCCATTGGACTTACATAGTCAATTCCAGACTGGACTAGTCCCACATCACCGCTGCGTATTAGACCAGTTCATATACATCATATTATACTGTCCTTCCCATTTTCCTGGCTAATTGACTGCTATACTTGGCTTTTATGGTTTCCCACGACCAAAAACTTACCATCACAGCGCAACACGATTCCAAGCTTTGCCTACGGTGTTCTAACCTGTACAAATACAGGATCACTGCGTACTAACTTACCATCAACTAAGACCAGCCAGAGGGGTCACGAGGTACTTATTCAGTACTACCCCACCAACGACGCATGCCGCAGCCGACACAGAAAGTAAGGAATGCATTTGTGATATGTCATCGGAATACGCTAACTCTGTGTCTTGTGTTTTCGTAATAAACATCTTGAATTACACTATATGGGTATTCCTTTTTGCCCACTTATTTACAGTCCTACCACACACACGTCGGTTTCCGCACACCTCTATCGACTTTTTTATTATTGTGATAAGTATACTTACTAGCTATTTCATACCATACTGAAATGGCCCCGAACACAATTTGGAAGGCGGGGCCTGAAGTTGTGGAGGGGGGGGCTATGTCCCTTTAAAACGGACTCCCCCTCCTACCTAACTTACCTACTGGTCCAGATGTACTTTTGGCCCACCCTCCTATCTCTCTATTCAACACTATTCAAGGTAGGCCTACTTATTTACAGGCCTACCACACACGTTGGTTTCGGCACACCTCTACCAACATTTTTTTGTTATTGTGATAAGTATACTCACTAGCTATTTCATACTATACTGAAATTGCCCCGAACACAAATAGCAGATATACCCCAAATGAAAACATGCATGCATTTAATTATGCATTTTTCATTGGGGTTATATATAAAAACAGTTTGCAAAAGCTGCAGTCCTGTGTCTGCTGCCTCGGCAAGCCGACTCCCTCTAGATCAGCCAAGGATTTCAGTGGCTGTCCAAGTCTTTGCAAGTCAGGTGCTCTGGGCAATTGTCTGCATTTTGAGTTTAGTTCCACTGAGCTAAAAAAAAACAGGAAGCAACAAAACCTGTTGTCTGTTTGAAGGCCGGGGGTATAAACAAGGTTAAAGGGATACTATGGGCTTCCAGGCCACTTCATCTCATTGAAGTGGTTTTGATGCATTTTCCCTGTCCCCTTAACCTTGCAGATGAAAACATTGCAGTGTTTGAGAAACTACAATGTTGTCATTGCAGTGTTAAAGGAGCACTATAGGGTCAGGAACACAAACATGTATTCCTGACCCTACAGGGTTAAAACCACCATCTAGCTACCCTGGTCCCCTCATGCCAACCTAAATATAGTAAAATATTACTTGTATTCAAGTCTGGAGCTGCTTGCTTTGTCATTGTTTCCTTTGACCTGCCTGCTGACATCAGAAGTGGTAGCCGGATCCAATCACAATGCTTCCCCCATAGGATTGGTTGAGACTGACAAAGAGGCAGATCAGGGGCAGAGCCAGCGCAATTCAAACACAGCCCTGGCCAATCAGAATCTCCTTATAGAGATTAATTGAATCAATCTGTATGAGGAAAGTTCAGTTTCTGCATGCAGAGGGTAGAGACCAGGGCCGGATTAACATAGGGGCTGATGGAGCTGCAGCTCCAGGACCAGTCCCATGGAATAGGCCCATTTAAAAAAAAATTATATTATTTTATTTTTATTTATTTTTTTACACACACTACTGGGTTTGCCATCTGATTGGTATTTTAAGGCACAGCCAGTATTTGAGGCTGCCTGGCCGTGATGGTATTGCAGTAATACTAGCAATACAAATGTAAATATTTTTCTCTGAATAAACAGAGATTACTCTGCAATATCAGCACCGGCCAGTAGGGATCACTGTGTATGGAGAGAGGCAGGGATAGGAAGTTACAGCATATCCCTCACTGCCTCTCTCTGCTCATGATACGCAGGGTAGCAGCTACACAGAACAGAGAGTTCAGACAGCAGCTCCCAGCCTGCAGAAACAAACTACAGCTCAGGGAAGTGAGGGATGATGGGAAGGGCAGCAGGGAGACACTAGGGGACACATGGTGACACTGGGAGATGTGGGGACGCTGTGAGACATAGGTAGACACATTTGGACACAGAGTCCCTAGTGTCTCAGTGTCCCCATGGCTCCCAGGGTCCCCAAATGTCTGTGTTCCCATGTCTCCCAGTGTCCCTAGTATCTGTGTCCCCATGTCTCCCAGTGTCCCCCAAGTGTCTGTGTCCTTATGCCTCCCAGTGTCTGTATTCCCATGTCTCTGTGCCCCTAGTGTCTTAGTTTCCTCAAATGTCTTTGTCCCCATGTCTCCCAGTGTCTGTATTCCCATGTCTCTGTGCCCCTAGTGTCTTAGTTTCCTCAAATGTCTTTGTCCTCGTGTCTCCCAGTGTCTGTGTCCCAATTTCTCACAGTGTCCCCAAATGTCTCCGTGACCACATGTCTCCCAGTGTCCCCATGTCTGTATCCACAAGTGCCAGTGTCTCTGTGTGCCCTAGTATCCTAGTGACACGGGACACACAGAGACATGGGGACTCAGACACTGTGATACATAGGGACACTGATGCCAGGCTGACCTTCCAATTCTTTGGACAGACAAACCCCCCCCTTTCGGCATGTTCGCCCTTTTTGGCTTTTCTGGTCATGTGATTCGCATCAGTGACCTACTCTTTTACCCCACCCATTGGCTTCCTGCTTCATTGGACACTGCTGTTAGGGGGTATGGATTTACTTGAAATATGAAAGCATAAATTAGATAAAGAGATTAGCATAAAGTATGTGTTTTCTTATAGCTGCATCCTTTGAGTTTCCCTACAACACCAACTCCATCTGAGGAGTGGCCAGTGAAGTTATCACTAGGCTGTAAACACTGCATTTTCACTGAAAAGACAGTGTTTACAGCAAAAAGCCTGAAGATAATGATTCTACAGAACAAATTTAATAAGCTGTAGTTGTTCTGGTGACTATAGTGTCCCTTTAACACTGCCTCTAGTGGCTGTCGACCAGTCTCTAGGATTTTCTAGATCAGCATGCTGTTTAATAATTCTGTGCTTGCAATCTTAGTTTACTTTAATATTTATGCCAAGTTAAACATATTTTTATCAATCTGTTTTCCACAGCAACTTTCAGGCTTGTGGTATCACAACCGCACACATCACCCAGATTTGTTTGCTGCGCAGAACCATCGATCTTCCAAATTCTCTGTCCAGTGTAGTACCTGTGATCAATTTTTTTCAAACCCATCCATCCTCCAAAAACATGCATTACTAGAGCATGCTGGTAAGTGTTATTTTTGGTGTATGATACATGCAATATTGATGTGTTTAAATTCCAGTTTCCATAAAAATCATAGTTGACAATATGGTGTAATCAAATAAATTAGAGTTTTGAAGGGCATGGTTCGATCTTTATTTCAAGAATAAACTGTTCAGCACTAAAAGATTTTTCAAACTGACCCAATAACACACTGTGCAATTTGATTGGGCAATGAAGCTATTACTTAACCACTTAATGACCACATACGGTCTATGCTGTCATGCAGGGCTTTAATGCCTAAGGATAGCATAGACCTTTATACAATAAAGGTACCAGCGGGGGGGGTTAAAGTTAGTGACAGTTGAGCTGTAAGTTCTGCTCAGCTGTGGTATTTCTTTATTGTCCCCAGCCTCCAATGTTAAAAAAGAGGGAGGGGAACCCAGGTATCTCTGCCAGTTGGTGCCACATTCAGTGGCCCCAGACCGACAGGAGGGCTATTAGAAGCGCTCAAAATGAATGCTGCTTATACTCCTCTAAATACCGCTGTAGAGCGATCACACTACTGTGGTAAATTTTAAAATGCTTTTAGTGCCTTCCCTAACTCTCCATCTCCTGCTGCAATCACACTTTGTGAACTAGGAAATGCCTCTGCTGACGTCGGTACTGATCAGCAGAGGGAATTCCTTGAAAGGTGGTATGAGGGATGAGGAGGTGTGTTTAAGACTGGGATTATGTGTTAGATTAGGGGTTGGATTAGCATCAGATTATGGCAAGGATAATAGGTTGGATTAAAGGTTGCATTCAAAGTTTGATAAGGGGCAGGAGTAGGAGAAAATGTATACATGTGGGATATCATTGTACTTGAGAACAGTAGCAGAATAAAAATGTGATATTTGCAGTAGTGGGACATGTCTGTGGATTTCTCTACAAGTCCTGCAGAGAGGTACCAGCCACTCGGTTCAGGATCTACAGGGAGAAGCTGCACTTCTGCGAAATCTTGCCCTACCAGAGGACTCACTGTCACACTCCCAGCCCTGGACCTACCGGAGGACTCACTGTCTCACTCCCAGAGGCACACCGATGTGACCGGTCAAAGGTCACACCATTCATACCACAGGGGGCCTTGCCGTATACTTATGCTCCAGCCATCACCTGAAGCTATGGGCCACATTCTTGAATATAAGTAAAGATTTTAAGGGGGGTGGGGTCGACCGCCATGCTGACCGGTCGCATGCGGGAGAGGCTCCTGCAGGCACAGGCCCTTAAGCCTGAGAACTAAGACACACTAAGCCCAAAACAAGCCAAAAAGCGCAGTAAAGTGACCGGGTGGCGATGGACGCTACTGCAGACCCCAAGGTCTGGAGTTTTGAGGCCCCTGGGGGCTACATGAGACTTTGGAGACTGCGGCCTACTTGGGAGAGGAGCGGGGTGGACGGCCGTCGCCCTGACTCCAAATCTAGCAGCCACACAGCAGCCCGGCAACACTCCTCACAGGCCCCCACAGGTTATTCGGATCCCCGGCCTCACAGCCAAAACGGCCGCCCCGCATTTCATGGGCTCTCTCCGACACACAATGGGCAGAGAGAGGGAACATCACTGCTCGGGGCTGGCAGAAGCGTGCATCCCTGGACCGTCCTACCACATCATAAACCTGCTAAGTGAATGGCAGACCAGGCCTTGGCACTCAGTGAGCGGGACCGGTCCCCAAGGGCCCTCGGACATGGAGCACGGTGGGGAGGCTGCTCACACTACCACACAGCACCAGGATGGACTACCTCGACGGGGATCTCCCTTGCTGGCCCCAGATGAAACCGACTGAGTTACAGCAGAAAGGTACCTACTGGACTCTCCACCTCGACGGAACCCTGCTATCACCTCCCACACGTGACCCAGCAGCAAACATGAGCCGAAGGTCATAATCTGGAGGGGCTGGTAACCGGACATTTGTCGGCTGCCCGAACGCATTGAGCCTGGAGGAATATGGGGCTTACACAACGAGACTCCAGTGGTTATTCTTTTTCTTTCTCGGTGGTGTTGCCACACATGCTTGTCACATGCTGCAACATCAAGACCTGGACTATATACCATCCCCAGACCGTAAAGGCAACTAGCAGGACATGAACATAGAGGATGCATAGCTTGCCAGAGTAACTTAGCATATAGTTGAATCTCAGCAGAACATGTATGCTTAGCTCACTATATAAATGTTTTTAACAAGAAATGTCCGCCTTGCTTGCCAGAGTAGCTTAATACCTAAACGCACTATATGAATGTCTAGCCTGACAGAGAGAACCTTAGACTGAAGGTTAAATCACTTTGTTTCTGTTTTATGCAGTCCTAGCCACACCTCCCCTGGCTAAGATTGACAGAGCTTGCATGAAAAAAAAACTGGTTTCACTTTCAAACAGATGTAATTTACCTTAAATAATTGTATCTCAATCTCTAAATTGAACTTTAACCACATACAGGAGGCTCTTGCAGGGTCTAGCAAGCTATTAACACACCAGGAGATAAGAAAATCTTAATTTAACAGAGCTTGCAATAAAGAAAGCCTAAATAGGGCTCTCTTTACAGGAAGTGTTTATGGAAGGCTGTGCAAGTCACATGCAGGGAGGTGTGACTAGGGTTCATAAACAAAGTGATTTAACTCCTAAATGGCAGTGAGGCTGCAGGGGCATGTTCTATACACCAAAACTGCTTCATTAAGCTAAAGTTGTTGAGGTGACTATAGTGTCCCTTTAAGTTCAAACGCCTCCCTCCTGTGGGGAAGAAGAGAATGAAAAGAAAAAAGGGCAATGCTGCAGACCCTACCATCACCTTAAGTGTAACTGTCTTTGTCAAATGTGCATTTAGCCAAGTGTGTCTAGCACAAACTACTGTTTTCAAATACCCTGTTATTTTCATGTTGTACAAAACAAAAATAATGTGCTGTTTAAACTGCCACACTATGTAATGCCATGAAAACGGTTGAAGCTGCTGTCATGGCTCTGCACGCCTGTTGTCACGCTATGCACTAATAAAATAAAGAATAAAAAAAAAAAAAAAATGTAGAATATAAATGTATATATAATATGTATGGGTGCACTTAAACAGAACATGGTCAATTATGGTAGAATGAGTGCATGGCAAGAGCACCAAAAGGCTTTGTTCACAAACCTGTTGCATCACAAAAAAAAGCCTTGGTCCTTATGGTGTGTTGTGAGTTTTGATTATTTTCTTTTTTATTATTTTTTTTAGATGGCAAGCTTTATGAATGTGACAAGTGCAAGCAAACCTACCCATCACCTGCTGCATTACAAGTGCATATCAAATGTAAACATTCAGGTAAAGAAATGGTGTGCTATCTTGTATAATCACATTATTGAAAACTTCCCTCACCTTTCTGTGCTGTATCCACTACAATCACCCTCACTTTGCTGTTACATATTAATTGTTATGTTATGCTAATGTTTTCAATTATTTTATTTTTTTTCCTCCTCCTTTGTCTACCACACGTAATTTGAGTTGTTCTTTTGTCTTCTAGGATCCCAACCATTCCAGTGTCTTTATTGTAGCGACTCTTTCCAGTTCCCTGGTGCACTCCAGCATCATGTTGCTACTCAACATTTCAGTGAGACAGAAAGCACATTTGGCTGTGAACTTTGTGGGGAGCTTTTCACTAATCAGACTCAGCTGGAGAGACACTATGAAACTGAACATCTAACAGAAACAGAGTCTACCGATGGTCAAGTAGTGCAGGTATTGCTTGTCACATTTTTTAATTTTATTTTTCTTATTGCTCCTATGTCTCTTTTAATTGGACACTCAATGCACCATAACCTCTACAGCTTGTTCTTGTTATAATACAAGAAGTGTGAGTGCTATGCCCCCAGTTTTGGTAAGTCGTTTTTTTTTTGGTTTTTTTGTGGACAGTTTGGGTGGGGAAAAAAGGTCTGGGTTGGTCTTGTCCTCGCACCCCAAATCTGTCACATTTGCAACCAGTCGGATACTATGGAGGATTCACTTTTACGTTCTCAATCCAGCTTCTTTTAACATAAGACATTAATGATGGACAGACCTGCACACAAAAAACACACACCAAATGACACTCTTTGCAACTTTCTCACACAAATCCAAGCATGTTCTTCCAGAGGAGGGTTCTCCTGCTTATAAGTGTGCTAAAACATGGTCTATTCGCTATTCAGCTATTTCTTCATATTTAATTTTGCTGATTTTAGAGAGAGCTTTACATTTACTAGCAATTCTGTTTGTACAATACATATAGGAAATCTGTTTATCTCTCAGATTACATTGTTTTTGTCATGAAATGTGCACTTTAATAACATTCAGTCATAGTCTTAAAGATTGTTTATGGTCCTGTCTATTCAAAAATTAAGCATGATGGTTACTAACTCCTGAATATTCCTTCTTCATTATGTCATTAGGTCATTCAAGGAGAAGATCAAGTATCATCAACAGAACAAGTGATTACTTTGGACGAGTCTCATCTAGCAGGCTCCCAGGTTATTGTGGCATTACCAGATTCTCAAAATAGCCAAAATGCTACTGAACTGGTGGCAGTGAGCATGGAAGATTTACTGGATGGCACAGTTACTCTTATTTGTGGAGACTCTGTTACTGGTGTAACACAAAGAACTCAAAGTTGAAATGTATACAGGACACCGATATGAATTTTCCCAACTTTGGATTTTTTTGCTGGTTGTAAATTAGGACAGCTTTTATACCATTTGCAATATCAGTTTTATTTTTGACACTATATTTTCTTCCTAGTGTAGTGTGTTTTTTTATTTTTGTTTGGTTTTTTTGCTTTTTTCTTCCACTTCTCCCCTGCAATCTTCTTCTTAAAGGGAAATTGTCATTATTTTTACGGTTTTACATGCCTTTTGAAAAACGGCCTTAAAAATGTAGTGCAGCTTTTTGTGTAACATTGGTGAACATTTACATAATGTGCTATTTTTGAATTCTGAGTTCTTCAAGTTAAGGTTTTTGTGTCTTGTTAACTTCCTCCACTCTCAATAAGTCTTATACATCAATCATTTGCAAATTTCTGTATAGTACTTTAGAACCAGAATATTTCTATCTATTTATTTTTATTCTTGTTCTACAGCTGACAAAGGTGCAGTATTTAAGGATGTCTGTTTCGGTAACCTGTATTTTCTCTGCCGAGTAGTGCTATTATGTTGACACCTTTTCCATAATAAGCTAAGTAAACAAGTTTGCCTGGGCTAAGAATAATTATCTAGTAATGTTAAGTGTTTCCAAAGGTCCCTCTCAAGCATAGAGCGTGATGAGAACAATGTAAAATGGTTTGAATGCATATGTGATCTGATTAATCCTAGCAGCATGCCTTCAACTCGGGCTGTCCGTTTCCTGTTGAGTGTCCCATATATGCTTAGTTAGTGGATATCCAACTCAAATTAAAAATTCAAAGCTCCTCGAAGAATAAGGATTTCAGGAAACATGTCTACACACCTTAAAAAAAAAAAAAAAAAGTCTGTATCAGCGTTTACAGCATCACAAGAGTATGCGGTCTATTTAAAAACAAGATGTAAATGTACACACAAACTCAACGGTCTCTAAAATTCAAGTATGAAAATATACACTTTCCACTTCTCAGATACTTAAGCACTAAACACAACCCACACAAGAAAACTTATTTTATTTTATTTTATGGGCCAGGCTGCGGTGCTTATCAACTTGAATAAAAGGGGCATACAATCCAAATATTATTAACAAATTAAAATTTTTAGTTAACTTTAATAAACACCAATGCCAGTCAGTCATAGCTAACCTGACCGCCTTTAAAGTATATCCTGTACTATTAAGCATTTGTCCCTTCAATACCCCCAACACTAATGAAACCACAAGGGAAAGGAAAGCCAGGTCCGCCATCGCTGTTTATATCTTCTTAAAAGTCCAGCCGTGGTGACAGAATTGCACTTGTGTCAGGCCCCTTTATAATCATACAATCCCACTATTTAGCACTTTTGATACCGCCAACCAATCTCTGGATAGTCACCTGGTAACAGACTGGTCACTGGAATGTGCCCACAGACTAGCCACCCCATAGAAAATTATTTCTATCCTACCTAGCAACTTCCTAAATGAAACTCCGCTAGAATACTACCTAGAGATAACGTGACCCCCATTTTAACTCTTTCTTGCTACCATACATGTTCTGCCACAGTGCTTAATGCCGTGGCTTTTTTATTATATTTTTAAAGGTCAGCTCTGTTTTATCTTAAATGGGAACTGTCACTTGTCAGTTTTTTTTTTTGTTTTTTTTTTTGTTTTATTGTAAGGTTTACTCATACCTATATGTATTTGAGAAAATAAAATTAGATGAAGGAATCCGCAACACTTTGTCCTGCGATAGGGTGCCTCCATCATAGCTGCCTGTTATTCGTACTTACAAGCTCTCTCTTTAGTCAGCATAGAGAAACAGTGGAAGAGTGGAAAAGAAACGTTTCGATTTATTTTTATATTTACCTTGTGTGAACGGGATTATGGTGTCATTTGCTAAATCTTTAGTGTAAATGAAGACCAAAAAAAAAAAAGAGCATCTCATAAAAAGAAAAAAGTTAACACTCTTAACAGGTGATTTTCAGTGTTTTATTCAATTGAGCAGACTCCAGACAAGTTACAGTTCCCCTTTAAGTACAAAATGTATCTATTGATGACATGTCTTCATTTTTTTTAGTTATATACCATAGCTTCCATTCCTTGTTGAGACAAATTCAGTGATTGAAACTATGGTATCCCTGTTTGACAAATGTGTACACAATGCAGCTGTTCATGTATTCTAATTTACTTTAAACCAAACTGAGCCCATTTTAACCCATAAGAGAACCAACCTCCAGCTTCTATTTGAGTGGTTTTCATTATTTAAAGGGACACTATAGGCACCCAGATCACTTCAGCTCATTGACGGGGTCTGGATGCACTGTCCCAGTCCCCTTAACCCTGCACTGGTAATTATTGCAGTTTTTGAGAAACCTTGGAGGGTTAACTCCACATCTAGTCTCTGGTAGTCTCTACAAGACACAACTGACGCTGGACGTCCTCACGCTGTGCATGAGGACATCTAGCGTCACCCAAAACTCTGTTGGGAAATATTGTGTAATGCTTTCCTATGGGATTCTGGGTGAAGTCCTTATGCGAGTTATGTGCAGGCACATCAGGTGTCATGTGTGTATGTGTCCATCCCGCTGGCTGATGGAAAAGGAGGAACATCGGCACTGGAATCAGGTGACAGAAGGGGTTTTTAACCCCTTCTTCACCACTGGGGAGGGGGGGGGACAGTATTGGTAGCTATCGTGATAGGAAAACACCTTTATTTTCCTAGCACTATAGTTTCCCTTTAAGTATATTGGCTTTTTTAACTGCTTTTTCACACTGTACTTGTCTTACTCAAATCTATAACGTTATTGAACGTGTGCATGTGATGACATACACATATCCTTATTTAATTCATAGAAAAAACAAATGGACCAGAAGGAGTGACACAGAGATATGCCACTTCCTTGTAGATACATTATCTTTAGAATATAAATTAAAAGGAGGGCTTAGTCCACCCCGTCTGGTATACCCTGTGCCTGTTCATTGTTGTGCTTTGCTAGCAGTGTTCATTCTGTGTGTGAGATACTGCTGGAAAAAAAAATTCCCACCGTTTTTTGTTTTTTTTTGGAAACCTCAGTAAGACATGTTTCCAGGCTGTCTACTATCCATAAAAGCATCTATTTTTTAACATTAGTAACCCAAAGAAATCTCAAGCAAAAATATAGATAAATATAGTTAAATTAGCAACATTAGTATATTCTAAACACTTACAAATGTAACATTGAATTTCTGTCTTGTGTTCATATATCTAAGATTCATATAGCATCTTCCTGTGGAAGACATTGAGCAAAATCATTTTCTATAACTTTGAGTCCAGATCTACTATTATAGTTAGCTATATTTGAAATTGATAATCTAGCAGTCACAGTGAGATGGAATGTGGATATTTAAATTTTTTTTGTTATACTAATCCGAATCATACATCACACGTGTATGAATTAATTTGAGGGACGGGGGAATATGTTTTTACTTTTAGGAATATGATTAAAATAATTTCTGGCTCTGAGTTTTTGGGGGTTTTTTCCTTAGAAGAAACAAATTATTAGTTTAATATGTAAAGTAAATTAATAAAACCAAACTTTATACATGTATATCCCTTAATCTAAAAGTTCGATATTGTGCTCAGGCCATTCTAAAGTCTGTGCTGTCTGCATCTTACCAGAAATTGATGCTACTAATATACCACTTATTGTTCATAGATATGTTTAATCCAAAGATTAGATTTTTATTCAAGTTTGAGAAGTTTTGTTTTTGAATAAAAACTGCTCAGTTCTTGCACTTCCTCTCCCCCCTCAAAAAACAAAAAAACAAAATCAGATGTCATCCACAGAAGAAAAAGAATCACAAATACATATATTTACCAGGTTTAATTGTGTACATGCACTTGTACGCATGAATACAGAGGCAAAAAAATGACTAAATATTTCTATACTACCTTGAAATATATATACTTTAAGTACAGATGTGTTATTAAAGGCTCACCTTTCCTGTGCACCCTCATGTGGTCAAGCTAATTTCTCCTAATATTGTAATTTAACTTATTAAAGTTTATATGTTTTCAATTAAGAAAAGAAAAACTTGATGTGTTTGTTTTGTGTTACTTTTTTTTTTTTTTTTTTTAAGTTGTCACAATTTACACTATGAAATCTCTATGGCTTGAATAAAACTGTATGTTTTAGCTAATCCACTCCATATGCTTTTATAACTGTACAAAGTTTATTTAAAGTAGACTTGTCACTTTATTAAAGGAGTACTTCAAGCACCATAACCATCACAGCATGTAGTAGTAGTTTTGATGCCATGATTTCTACTCCCCCGCCCCCCCAAATCCCCCCCAAAGTAAGCAGCCAATCTGTTGCAGATTGGCTCAATGTTTTACCATGCAGTCTGGTGGGTGCTGCTCCTTGCCTCCACTACTTGTCAGACAGCCTTAAGCTCTTATGCAGGGTCTTCTATTCGCTCTCCTTGACTAAGATCTGCAGTGCAGGTCCAGCTTATTGATTGAGAGTGTCACCACTGGGCTAAGCTCAGACAGAAAGCCAGAAGTGCTGTCTCTGATGTTGTGGAGGTGATTTACCCCATAAAGAACGGTTTTAAAATTGTCTTACTACTCAAAATGGTGGAGGGGCACCAGGGCACCTTTGGAACTCCTGCACACCAAACACACTGTACTAGTTATGGTGCTTGGTGTTTGCCTTTAATGTATTTCGTATATTAACACTGTTGTGGGTACGGTGCATAAAGTGCTTTTTTTAAGACAAGCAGAACAAACCAGGAAATTGTAAAAGGCAACAGTAAAGTAAAGCTGGTCAACACCAGTATTTATAATGAGACAGCAAGACCAGGATGGACAGGTACACAGACTGGATCATGCCTTGGAGTAACGGTGTAATCACTATTGAGACTGGGTTTAAATACAAGCTTGGTAGGCTGATCTGCGAGTTAGGTAAAGGTATAAAAAGCATGGAAGTTAGACATGATTGTCAATTAACTGATAGCAGAGAAAGTTGGTGGAAAGAAATTATACTTGGCTTCAACATATCACGGAGCATGCATGCCCTTACACGTCTAAAGCAGTTTCTTAAAGAGACACTCCAGACGCAATACAATTTTAATGTATTTGATAATTTTGCCTCACTGATTTTCAGTATTTTGTTTTACATGATGAGAGGTCTAGTTTTCTCACCACCACAAAAAAAAAAAAAAGCAGAATGCTGTACCGGTAACCTGTCTTCTTACTGCTTTTAATTCACAACCTAACTGCTGACAGAGAAACTACAAACAGGTAAATGATATGTGTCCCTGGGTATCCTCTTCTACTCTAATGCAGGTTGCTCACTCATTGCTGCACATACATTTCATAAGGAAGTATGTGGCGGAACTACTACTCATTCGTATGGTTTTTTTCCCCGTGTTCACAAATCATGTTTGAGCTTGATTAGAAGATTGTGCTTGTCCAATTCGGAATGTAATAGAAATGAGGCTTCGTTATTAATCTGTGGGTAAGTGTTGGTGTCTTTAATATGATACTGGAGCACCGGGGGCTTACTTGAGAGCTGAAGATTATTCCTATCAAAGGACACGTTATCTAGGAGGAAATCAGGACATAAGGCAAGTGAGAGTTAGTTTACACTAAATCCAGACTTCCAGGCCACTTGTGTGTGACTTCTCACACCTTCCAGAGTGGCTTAGTTGGGATCCCAGCTTCTGACCTCCCATGCAATCAAATTAGCCCCTTTTGAAAATGTATTTTTGGAGTGTTTTAGAATATTGTATATTTTTCTGTAGAGGATCCTGGGAGGAAAGGCCCTATATTATTGTGTGGGAGACACCATGTAGGGGTCTGTGCATAAAAGCAATGTGTGTTCCAATAAACCTCAGTTGACTCACAGAACTAGGTTTTGTCTGGTTACTGGGGGAATGGATGTCTGTATGCTTTAATGGTTCCAGAGTGGCTGAAGAAAAGAATTAGCGGAGGTAACCAGTCGGGTTAACTGTGGTCCGCTACAAAATAATTTTCTGGAGTGACTAAGTAGGCAGGTTTATGCTGCAGCATGCAGCATATCTACAAAAAAAAGCACGAAAAAAAAGAAAAATATTGCATATTCCTAAAGTCTAAATCAAATACATTAAAGTTGTATTAGTGCTCCGAGTGTTCATCCATCTGTACATGCTAGAATGTAGGTAGGCTTCTAAGTATATACAAACCTAGCTATAGGCATAGAGATGGTCGTAGTCCGTCTTCACACACAAAGAAATGCAGTGCATCTATGTGTAATGTAAGTGTGCGACAGTATTTTGAGATCCACATGTTACAAGTTTTTTAATTGTTAATGTACCTGTATTGTTATTAAAGCAGCCCTGTCATGCCGAGCTTACCTTTCCCCAATCGATTCCGCTTCTCTCCCTCTGTCAGGATCTGTTCTTTCTTCCTTTCTGCTCTAGTTTTCTTTAAAACATAAGACAAAGTAGGGACTATTTTGTCTTATGGAGGTTTCCTTGGCCAAACCATCTATGACCAGCGGAGGAGCAAAGTGTGCTTTGTTTCCTGTGGTCAGAGCAGATACATTTTCCCACAATTCTTACCTTTCCTCCATGATCTTGCGATTCTTCCATAAGTATTCCGGAACGTCCTGTAATTTAGACTGGATGCCAGCGAAACTACAGAATTTCATCCTTACAGAATGATAACAGTTTGTTCATACATGCTATTCAGGACTTTGTTCGGATCGGAATTTCATTCGAATGAATAAAATTCTGATCCTATTCGTGTTTCAAGCATCTTGCAGTCGCTTAGTAGATAACTCCCTAATTCCCACGATATCAGGGAGCTATTTACCAAAAGATGACTTAGTATTTGTAAAGTCTGCCCCTACTCTCTATATTGCTGCTCACAGTTGTATAAAAAAAAAGAAAAAGAAAAACCCTAGTGTCCCTCCTCCCGAGCCCCCACCCGTGCCACGGGGGGACTATTAAACTGAAGTGGGGGCCCGAAATAAAAAATAGGGGGGGGGGGATGACACCTATTGTCCTTCCCCCCTGGCCTTCACCCATGAGCTGCGGGTGAGGGCCCTAAATAAAAAAATGAAGGGGCAGGGACCTATTGTCCTCCCCCTCTCCCATGAGCGGTGGATGGGGGGGACCTATTGTCTCTCCCCAGCCCCCCACTCATGAACGGCGGGTGGGGGCCCTAAATAAAAATGGGGGGCGGGGACCTTTTGACCTCCCCCTGGCCCCACCCATGAGCAGTGGGTGGTGGCCCCAAATAAAAATGGGGGGGAACTATTGTCCCCTCTGGCTCCCACCCATAAGCGGAGGGTGCGGGCCCTAAATGGGGGAGACACCTATTGTCCTCCCCCCGGCCCCCACCCATGAGCGGCGGGTGGTGGCTAAATGTAACCACCCCCTCCAGATAACTAGGGGTGCCCAAGCCCCTAGTCGCCCCCTCTCTCCCCCCAAAACATTTTTTTTTTAATAAAGACCTACCCACTCTAAAAATAGTGAGAGGGGAACAAAAAAACTAAATACCTGTAAATAAAAAAATAACTTACCATTTGATGTCTTCTTTTTTCAGCCCCAAAAAAGACCAAATAAAAATCTATAAATAAATATAACTGTTAATTTTTTTTTAAACCTGACGCTGAAAAAGTAATCCATCTTCACCCAGCGAGTGACAATAGGTCCCCCCCACCCCATTGTCATTTACATTTAAGGCCTTCACCCGCCACTCATGGGGAAGGGCCGGGGGAGGACAATAGGCCCCCCCCATTTTCATTTAGGGCTCCCACCTGCCGCTCATGGGTGGGGGCCAGGGGGAGAGGACAATAGGTCCCCCCCACATTTTCATTTAGGGCTCCCACCCACCGTTCATATTGACCCCCATATAGTTAGAGAGGACATGGGGGGCTTAGGAAGTGGCGGCGAGCACTGCTCCCTGACGCTTCTATTTTTACATATTACAAGGAGGGAGTTACGTGCCGGTAGCTCCCTCCTTGTAATAAACCAAAAGAACTAAGAGGTCTTTGTTCATTCGTTTGAAATATCTATTCATTTATTCGTCCTTCTGACGAATTAATGAATAGATGAAATTCCCGCTCGAATGCTCAAGTGTTTAACTGGGCATGCACGGGAATTTCACAGCGCTATCTAGTGTGGACAGATGGTGTGTCCCACAGGGACTTCATCTACCCACACAAAGATAGCAGCGCCCAGAACCTAGGTCCGGGCAGAAAATAAAGATTAAAAAATAGGCAATATGGGGAGCTTAGGGGCTGACTAGGGGGACTATTAGATGTAATGGAGTCGGGAGGGGGGGATTCGGCCATGACACTACCACTTTAATGCATGCACTTAGTAAAAAATGAATTATTTTCAATGTATTAAGTTATTATTTTTATGTATAGTTTATTAAAGCTCCACCAAATATAGGAGCCACATGAGATTTTTTCATAAAAAAAACCCCTCCAATAAATCCACATCACACAAATATTCCTCAAAATGCCATTTATCAGTAAATTGTAGTAAGAGGTAAAATTAACACATATAATTAGGATATAAATTGTCAAAAACAGAAAATTTTAATGGCATTATTCTTTTAAATAAATATCACATAATTTCAGCTGTTTTTTTTTTTCTTTAAATAGAAAATCAAGATTTTAAACATTAACACTAGTGATGTCCCGAACGGTTCGCCACAGATGGCGAACATATGCTCTGTTCGGTCCGCCCCCTATGTCATCATTGAGTAAACTTTGACCCTGTACCTCACAGTCAGCAGACACATTCCAGCCAATCAGCAGCAGACCCTCCCTCCCAGACCCTCCCACCTCCTGGACAGCTCACTAAGAATGCAGCTTCACAATGAATGTAAAATGGATGCTGTCCAGGAGGTGGGAGGGTCTGCTGCTGATTGGCTGGAATGTGTCTGCTGACTGTGAGGTACAGGGTCAAAGTTTACTCAATGATGACATAGGGGGCAGACCGAACAGCGCATATGTTCGCCGTCCGTGGCGAACCGTTCGGGACATCACTAATTAACACATTTTTTTAAAAGAAATCTGTGGTCTTCAAAATAA